TTGGAAAAAGCAATCCAATCATCTGGATTCAGGCACCCTTTTTAGTTGACCCATGAAAGCTTTATTCATTGCTGATCATGAAGAGATGGGCAGCATCACAGGCAGAATGATCTTTGCCTTGCCATTAGTGACAAAGCCAAATAATTAAAATTAAATCTATAATGAAACATTCATAGGAACCGTTAGTTTCAGGACATAATTCTTACTAATGTTATGTCCCATTAAGAGTTATCCTAAGGTAATGTTAATATTTTGATGATTTGCAGCAAGTCAATAAATAAACATTTTCTTTAGTCAGAAGTTTGCAGTTTTAGATAACTCCTGAAGTCAGACAGTTCTGCAAAACAAAGAATTTTTTTTAAAATTCCCCCTTCCATTCTCTCTTCAGTAAAAAATGGGCCAGAATATTGCAGATAGCATGGAGTAATGCTTTAACTATTAGCTGTGTGTTTGTGAAGTCCATTTGTCTTGTTAAGGCTGTCATTTGGCTACATTACCCTTTCTGTAACCCTGGAAACAACTTCAAATACTGTGTTATTTGAAAAGTCTAAAACATGACATGCCCTTAAAATGCTATGAAGGTTTTTTGAGACTCCCTGTACAAAGAAAGAAAAAAAATCTTTTCCTTTTACAGAGGGCATTAAACATGATGGGTGTGCATTGCTTTGTGAGAAAGCTGATCCTCACCTGTTGTAGATGGGGTGAGAAATGATGCCAGCAACATGGACTAGTTTCCTCTTTACCTGCCCACAGAGTTCAGGAATCCCTCTGTCTAAGGGAGGGAGAGGATTTTCAGGAGGCAATAAATAAATTTTGATCCCTCTGGTTAATACAGTTAAGGTCAAAGAGATTCTATCTGGAGCTATTTAAAACACTCTTAACCTGCAGACATACTGCTGTCAGTAGTGCTAAGTGCCTTATCTGGCTGAGGAGTGTGTACAACCCTTATGAAACTATTCTTAAGTATTCTGGTTACTATATTTAGCTCTGTCTCATAACAAGACAAAAAGCACTTAGCTAAATGTAGTCCTGAAGTGCTTAATCCGATTAAGAATATTCTGTCCTTAGGTGTCTTCTACTAAGACTTTTTCTAGCTCACCATCCTGCTGCATCATGCAAAAAGCTTTTCTTTGTGTTTGGGCCTGTGAATTCTTTTGTGGCCATTTGTTCTGTTAGCGCCTCGAAGTCTGGTGTTGTCCAAGGGCATCACTCACATCCATTAGGAAGCCTCATCCCCCCACTCCAGCTGCCCACCCCAGCCTTCCTGCAGAGGGGTGTGATTGCTGCTGCTGGAGATGGGAGAATCTGGGCTTCATTTCCCAGTTTAGACTCAGTGAGCACTAACTGGAGTGTTGACTCTCTCAGTGACCAAACAACTTCCCTCAACTCACTGCTATTCAAGCTGGCTGGCAGGCCAACCATGTGAATGAGGCAGAAAACCCACCAGGCTTCCCAGGAGTTTTCAGTTGTTAGACAACCTGTGGGCAAAGTTTCTACATAAAGCTTTGCCCTCCAAGGTCGGGAAGAATCCTTTTCTTCGGCTGAATTTTTGCATGCTTAAGTCTGGATACAAAGAACGTTCCCTGAAAAATTGTGGTAGGTCTGTTTGTGTATCCACCAACATTTTTTTTCACAATTTAACCCATTGCTTTTAAAAGAGTTTTCTTTATACCTGCGTATCTCTGAATTTGTCGCAGGTCACCAAAATTTCTGTAGGGGTCGATCTTCTAGAGGAGAAACAGCTGTATGGTTGTGATAGAACAGCCCTGACGGACGAGCAGCAGGGACTGTGATAAGCACCTCAGCTCTGCAGTAGCTAAATAGGGTAACAAATAAGATCACACGCTCCCTTTGAACTGGAAGAAAAGCGTGTAACTTGACTAGCGTACGACCGCTGAGAGAACAGAAGCGGAGCAGATCCACTAAGTTTAAACTTGCCATGCAGGTGTTGTTATCAGTTGCAGCTTCACTGAGGGTGTCAGGAGTTGTGTGATATTTTCCCTGGAAGTTCATATTCCAAACTGAAAATAATCCCTTCATCCCAACTCCATTTTTTACCGGTTTGCTTACCACTGAAGCACATCAGATATTTTATATGTTACCCTTATACTTCTGCTGTGTCAGAAGGTTCAAGCCTCTTGCAGTAACTTCCATATTACAGTTTATAGTGACTGTATCACTTTATCTGAGCCAGTTTTTTTTTGAGCACATGGACTGACATAATTTCATTTATCGGCCGTGAGCAGGAATTTGGCCTGTTTTCTCGAGTTACTCACCTAAACCTCCCCTGCAAGTCCTGTCACCATATCACTGTTCAGGATCTGTGTTGCTCATGGTTTTTAGCTTCAGCCACACAATGCCCCCACCCTGTCCTGGCTGCCCTCTCCAGCATGCTCGCCTGACATGTGTCCCTTGTAGCAGTTTTCCAGCCAGCTTCTTGTGTGCCCTTTCCTTTGAGGTGTTTTCATTAGCTGGAGAAACAAACAAGCTCTTGCTAGTCCTTTAGATGATCCAAATGAGGGATATGTTTCTTTGTTCACCACAGTTACAAGTATGCAACCCCTGGTAGTGGCAGCGAGCTTTTTGCAGTGTCCTGAGCTGATGTTGGAACTAATGGTAACAGGAGAAACAACCATGAACCTGGGCTCAGAGTGGGGAGGCCCTTCAGGGTCATTAGCAGCTTGTTAAGCTTGGAAGCCCAGCAGTTGGCTACTGTGGGAGGTATTACTGCCAGCCATGGACAGTCTGGTTGTGTTCGTGTCCTTCCTGAGAGTGAAGCTCATCTGAAGCCAAACAAGTTTTGACAGTGATGGTTTCCGAGGGGGCAGTCCTGTGGTGTGGGTATGGCCAGGAGTTCAGGGTGTGCCTTGGTAAGCATTTAAATCCCAAATGAAAAGGAGATTTTGTGTGCGACATCAGTGGCAAATCTTAATGGGAGGCCTTAGGTCTCCTCACTGGTGGGTGGTTGGGGCTTGCACTGACTTTCGCTGGTCATGTTTGTCTCAAAGGAGGTTTTGGTTGCATGATTTGATAGATGAGGTACAGATCATACTTTCTGGTTTTCACAGCACACATACCAGGTAAACTGTCATACTTTGGAAGAAGTCCAATCAATCCTTAGTGGCTCCAAGCTAGTAGGGCTATTCCACCACCCTGCTGAGCCACATGGCTTTTTGGACATGAGAGGTCACACTGGCTTTCCCAGGCTGCTCTGTGGCAGCAGTAGTGCCCACAGAGCCAGGAGCCTGAGAACTTGGTCCAGTTCCCATTGCTGGAGTCTTTGCTGAGCTTTCATCAGTCATATTGAACATGTTTCTAGTTTGTGGTGGTAGACTTTTCTGAGACTGAAGTGATTGCTGCTCTCTAGTCTGTCTTGCCTGCAACCATGTTTTAACTGGACTTGCTTTTCATTCCAGGATTAATTTTTCTCCGTCTCTATTTACATGGTGATAAGAAGTGCTAATCCCACTCTGTCAGTCTGGACTGATGAATCTGAGGAATAGAACAGGTAACTTCTAATTTGGTTTGTAGCTTTTGGTGACTCAAGCAGTAAGAACCACTCCCTTCCCATGGAGTGCGTTCACAGTTTGGAACAAAAGAGTTCATACAGTTTCTTCTGCCCAGGTCGTCTACAGGGAGGGAGATCCTTGCCTTGGAGCAGGCAAGGAAGGATAAAAATGTGTAGCTTTTACTGTGAGCAGCATCTCAGTAAACCACCTATCAGTTGTGGGTGGTTTTATTTTGTGCTACTTTTATAGCCACCAAGTTCTTTGAGCTTGGAGTAGTCTCAAAACAGAAAAAATCTTTTGGATGTACCTGTTGAAAGATACCCGTTGGGTGCTGGGCAATGTGGGAGGGTTTTGTGGCGAGAGTGCTCGCTAGAGATGGAGGTAGATTGGTGCTGATGCTGGTTAGGGGTGCGGTTTCCTTTTTGGAGGTGTCTGAGGGAGGTAAAATCCAGCAGAGCTGACGCAGGCGATGCAGCGTGAAGTGATGGCAGCTGTCTCACCTGCACCCACCTGGCTTCCCATCCCTTGGATTTAGCCCATCTGATTCACAGAAAGCAAGGCACTAGTGAAGAAGTTACCCTTGTGTTGAATTTTCCATCATTTGATGGGGCTCGAGAGTACTGTGTCCTTACTGGGAGTTGTTGCCAGCTGTTCTCCTTACCTGTGCCGCAAGAACAGCTAAGACTAAGGCAGCAGCACACGATGGCTGTTCTGATGCAGGAGTATATAGAACCCAGGGAACCCAGGTCACATTCCCTTCTTTTCTTTGTTTAGTGCCAGGTGAGGAAATTCTAATTTGAAGTCTTGGGTATGAACCCCAGTACTGGGACACAGCTCTGATGATGTGGGGCAAGTCCACCAGTGCAAGCGGCAGCCATTGGCTGCAGGATGCTTTGGATGAACCTGTCTATCATATCATCTCTTAGATATTCTGATAGTAGCCTGCTGTTGCCTAATACTAATCCTTTAGGGGATTAGCACAGTTTCTTTCTTTCTTCTGTGTCCTTCCACTGGGAAAGAAATCTCAGATGTATTTCAAGCAGCGCAGTGCTCGAAATCAACTGGCAGCCTGTGATTTCCCAAAACAGGGCCAGGCGAGGTGCTGCCTGGTACAGACATCAGTGTCAAATCAGCTCTCACATTTGCAGGGAAGATGCTGGCTGCTGTGCAGAGTTAAGTGCTTCGGCAGGATTCCCTATCCTGGTGCAGAGGGGAGTACAAAGGCAGGCTGAAGGGCTGCTGGCTTTCAGCTCTTTCCCTCTAAAGTCGTGGTTATTGTAGTTGTATGGGCGTGTAGCAACGGTTTCACTTCTCAAGCCTCAGTAGCTGACTGAGCGAGCAAGGAAGTACATAACAAGAGTGAAGTTTGGGAAAGGGAAGATTGAAACATCCAGGAGGTCTTAAAGTACAAACCAGTAAGCTCCATATTTTGACATTCTTAGAAAGATCAGGAAATATGTTTAAGTAAGTACTTCTGTCTTTTCCTTCCAGAGCCCTGTGTTGTGTAAACGAACTGATGGATGAAGATGAGAAGGACAGGGCAAAGAGGTATGTCAGGATTCACACCTGGAGGAGAACTGTAAATGCTGTGTTGTCCAGTGCTTGACAAAGTACTTGACAGTGCTGATGTCGAAGCCCCCATGCAGTTTACACTGTGTGTATAGAGGACCACAAGCAACATAATGAAGTCACCATTTTCAGGCTTCTCATAGTGTTTGACCACTCCTACCATGAGTTAATCTGCTGAGTGGTCCTTAAATTACATTGTTGTGCCCTCAGGATCTCATCCCATGGCTATTTATTATCTTGATGCAGGACTTCTGACCTGAGATTTTATTGGCATCAAGCAGCATTGCCCAGCTGGGGTAGAGTTCCCCATGAAACTTAGAGAGCGGTCCTGCTTTAGCATGGGTATGAGTTAGTTTCCCATCAGAGAAGCATTTGGCTTAGTTCTAATTAGTCATCATACACAAGTGCCAAAACAGAGATGGCTGTGAACATAAATGCTGGATCTGAGAACCTCCAAATGCCAACCTGAATATGAATGGAAATGCTTTCTGCATACCACACTCAGTCTAGATCACAGGAAGTATGTATCATCATGAATACACTCGTAAAGCAAATTAATTACTCCTGGAAAATGTTGTATGAAAATAGGATTTTCTCAGATATGAGTATTGGAAAGAACATTTTGGAAGAAACTGAATGGATTTGCTTCCTCGTTTATTGTTTTTAATGGAGGGGAAAACCCTAATGAAACATTCTTAAATTGTATTAAAGTGAGCTGGAAACTAGTCTGTGGTTCTGCAGTTAGACTCCCAACACAGTGTTCTGCTGGGACAGGGCAGTTTACCTCATCCTGGTTTGAGCCACAGGTCTTTCATTCTGCTTAGTGGCATTTATGTTTCTGTCGCTCAGGGCATCACGCAACAAATCTGAAAAGAAGAGGAGAGACCAGTTCAATGTCCTCATTAAAGAGCTTTGCACGATGCTGCAGGGCCATGGCCACCCTCTCAAGATGGACAAGTCCACAATACTGCAGAGGACCATCGACTTCCTACAGAAGCAGAAAGGTACTGGAGGGTGCTGGCTCTGCATCTGCCCAGCAGACAGTGTCCACTCAGAAATCGAAAACTCTTTTTCCCAAGCACCTCAGACCTCCAGAGAGGGCATGAGCCTAAGTGAGGGGCAGAGTAAGGCACAGAAGTTGGCCTCAGGAAATGGGCTAGAGTGCTGACCAGTTAAATATAGACAGATTTGAAAAGATACTCTTTAATGGAGAGACATCATTTCCCTCACTGGCCTCCACATCCCTTGGCCTGCTTTGTACACTCTCAAACAGAGCATGAGGGAGGAAAAACTGAGGAACAGCACCCACTACAAAAGCAAGGGGAAAGGGTTTTCTAAGCCATGCTCCCAGGTCTCCTGGATTAGGAGATGACTGAGTGCAGCCTTTCCTGCTGCCTGGGCACTCCCGAGAGCCTTACTGAAACAGCTCCAGAGTCACAGACACCTTCTGCTCACAGGAATGCTCTACCACTCTGAAATTAGCCCTCTGACCATAATTTTGGAAGGATATCTTCAGACCACCCAAAATATCTCCATTTCCCTTTCCCTTTCTTGATTTCTAATGTATTTGTATCATGATGACATAGAAGATGAGTGTTGCATGCAAGAAGGATTTGTGTGAAGAATGATCTGTGGATGATTCCTCTGAAAGCCCTCTTTAAAGAAATCTAGTGTTACTTGAAAAGGAAAAAAAAATCTAAGTAGCATGACTCATGTTGCTTTTTTGATGTTTTCTCTTTAAGAAATCACAGCACAGACAGAAGCCTGTGAGATTAGACAAGACTGGAAGCCTTCATTTCTTAGCAACGAGGAGTTCACCCAGTTGATGTTAGAGGTAAGAAGAAATTAAAGCTGCATAGATTAGTGAGAAGTAATCAGTTCAGTGGAGTATTTCAGAGACCTACAGTTCTTTTTCACCTGTAGGTCCCAATGCTAATGATTTCTACTCTTGCTGGCACATACAATACAAATCTGACAGAGACCAATGTGCTAAATGTGCTTTGCAGACACAGAATTAAAAATATGATTGCTTCCCCTGAAAGATAAACAGCTTTTCATTTAGGAATGGAGACTGATTTGGCCCAGTTTTGACCTGGTGAGAGAGGAAAAAGAGAATTTCCCTTCTCAGAAGAGCTGCTGGAGCTAGCAGTTTTAGGGAAAACTTGAAAGGACCTGAAAAAGCAGAGCAGCTCTCTTCCTCCCACATCCCATTAGCCAGGCAGCATCGCTCTGCTGTCTCTGCAGCTGCTTGCTGTGCGCTGCTGTACTTGTGATGTGAGTGCTGTCTCTTGTGCTTGGATTGCCTTTCAGTGCATTCAGGAGAACAGCTCTGATACTCCCACCTCTAAAATGCTTCACTGGTCTAGAAACACCCCACAAGCCTACATTCTTCCTTTCTTAAGGGCATGACTCTGGATCTGTGCTCGTGCTCCTCTGGCGAGGACATCTGCCCTGTGTGGGCAGCTGCTGCTCTTTGCCCCACCAAAATAAGGGTGTATGCTGGGCTGAGCTGGGAGGTGCTGCAGTGTCTTAGTTACTCCTTTTCATCGGGATGTCATGACTCACCTCCCTGGAAGAGTCTGTTCATTTTTTCTGGGAATCTCTCTCACCAAACAAGCTAGCTTGTTCCAACTGAATCAAAACAAATTCCCCCCTTAGATGGGAAGTGGCGGGGAGAGCGAGCCCTTTAATAACTGCTGGCTTGCTGGACTTTGTTAGACTTTGCCATTTAAGCAGTTTGCTTAAAATCAGTGGTTTTTTTCCCAGAGAGGACTTATTTTGAGCAAAGGCAGTGAGGTGGGAGAGATGATGAGTGCTGCATCTTTGACTCCCTGTATCTAATCTGCAGAGCAGCCTATGTCTTCAGAAGAGCTGGCTTTGTGCACGGTGCTGACCAGCTATTAAACCTCCCAGATCTTGATGTTAGAGAAGAATAGGGACAGACACTGAGTAAATGGTACAAGGAGATGTTGTGAAGAATAGGGAGAACACTCGAGGAGGAAAGCACAGGCAGTGACTTAAAAGGGACAGAGAGCTTTGACTCTGGGACAGAAACCACTGTGAACATGAAAGGGGAAACAAAACAAGCCTTAAAATTGTTTTGTCACTAACCTTAAAAATCAGTACTTTAATCAAAATAAATAACACTTTAAATCTTCTCCATATTGTCCATAAATTGTTAAAAATAAATCATTGTATCATTTTTCCATCTCTGCTTATCCATCCATCCATCCGTCCATCCATCCATCCACAGTGCTGGGTTTGCCATGATGATATCTACCATCTCCTTACGCACTGAGTTTGTTAACTGTTGTGTAACTCAGAACACATAATGAAGTGACTGAAGTCACTGGGACTGTGTGGGTGTTGAAATTCTAAGCATCACTGTTTTGCTGCATGTTAAATAAATGCTCACTGGGTGAAAAATACAAGTCAATTTAAGAATAATGAGCAAATAAGAATATAAAAAGAATGTTGAATTAGACAGCATGTATAATTTTTGGTTTTCCACATTGAACTATCATTTCCGTGATTAATTTCTGCTAAGTTTAGGCTGTTGGAAGCATCACTAAAGAATCAATTAGCCTATTATATTCTAAGTTGCTACCTTTCATAATTCTTTTTTTTTTTCTTTTTTGTCTGCCTATTATCATTAGGCACTGGATGGCTTTCTCATTGCTCTTACCACTGATGGGATTATTATTTATGTATCTGATAGTGTTTCGTCTCTGCTCGGACACTTACCGGTAAGTTCTGACCACTCAATATGAGGCTCATTATTTCAGGACTGAATCTATGCTCTTCTAATGACACTGGGTTTTCCTACTTCTAACCCATAGTGTTCAGTAACAAATGTGTGGCCTCAGAGCTTTCTGGGAGAATTTCTAGAAACCAGTTAGCTGTTAGGTGCATAAATTTCAGCTTGACCCCTCAAAAACATTTTTCTCTTAATCTGGTGCCAAGCATGAGGCACCAACAATGCTATATAAGAGGGCAGATTTAAGCACATGGTTAGCTGAATGTCCTGGTGTGCAAAGAACAAATCCGTGCTGACATTTTGGTAGAACCCCTTTAGTCAGGATGTGTGGGTTGATCAGCATTGAATCACTTGCAGGTCAAGATGATTTTGCCAGATGTTCAGCCTAGAAGACAAATGGAGGATGTGAGGAGGAGCTGTCTCACTTCTGTCATGCTTCCAAAGGAAAATGTTTCACATTTTCATTTTGAAATGATACTTATCATCATGTTACATTCCTGTGGTACCAGGGTTTCTTCTCCTACTTACATCTCCCTGAACTGAGGGGGCAAACTCTGGGACTCGTTCAACCTTCTGCAAATAGATAGTAACCCTGGGGTAAAATAACCTAAGGGCTGTGTTCTACCCTAGATCCATCTGCGGATTGACTAGGCTTCCTTGTCTTAGGCATCAGCTAGATTGGCAGTGTCTGTGCTCTGCTGCGGGATGAAAAGGTGTGTGGTTGTGTCAGGCTGTACTGCTGAACATGACAAAGCATTCTTTTGTATCAGTCAGATTTGGTGGACCAAAATATATTAAACTTTCTGCCTGAGCGGGAACAGAGTGAAGTGTACAAGCTCCTTTCTCCACATGTGCTCATGACAGATCCTGTTGCAGCTGATTTTCTAAATGGTAAGCTCTGCTCCTGTCTGTCAGTCAGGGAAGTTTGCCAAAGGCGAACAGCTCCCAGGGGAGCCTGCACAGGGTTCTCCAGCTATTTAATTCTTCTGCCTGCCACTGCTGTTTTACTGTATTTGTGGGTTTTAGTGCATCACATCATCTAATGTTCCTGTGTGTTCCCAATACTTGCTCTTTGATTTGGGCAGTCTTTGTTTTACTGTCTGCTTTGTCCCGTAGGACAGTGAAGTTGCCCGCATTACATGTTTTTCCTCCTACCTGAACAGTCCATCCAGATCTGTATTGCTGGCTGCTGTCCCACCCCCAGAATGTCTCTTTCTCCTAGAAAATGTCCCCAGCACCAGAACAGGCAGCAGCATCTTCCTATCATCCACGTTTTACCAAGGCTGTGTTGGCTTCCCTCTTTCCCAGTGGGTTCACCATGACTGAGCAGCACTGGCCTCCCCTCCCTGCTGCCCCGTGAGCATCAGTGGGAGCTGAGCAGCCCTTGTGCTGATGGTGCTCTGCCCTGAGGGTGGTTTCCCTCTGGCTGAAGGCTGCGTGGTCTAATCCATAGAGTTCAGACTTGGGGCAGAAAACTGGATGAGAGCTTGGCACGGTGCCCTCCACTGCTAATGGAGAGGCTTAGGGTGAGTTCAGTGCCCTTTGGATCTGGGTCCTACTGAGCAGTGACAGAGCAGAGTACTGCAATGTCATGTAACTGCTTTGTGTGAAATTCTGCAAACTATGAAGTCAGGGGAAAATCCCCCTGATCAGTATAGCCAGGGCTTCACTCCTGGAGTACTGGAGCAAAACCATTTGAGAAAGGGTGAGAATACATTTCCTTAAACAGAACCAGCTGATAATTGCTCCTAGTATTTATATATTTATTGTCGGGTTTCAAGAGCATCCCAGAAGGGTGTGCTCAAATACCACAGCACAGGGTTGGTGTAAGCACCTGATAAATTCAGTATGTGAGTGTGTTAAAGTACAGACTTCTAGTAACATTGCCTGTGTCTCCCTCTCTTTCTCTCATTTCAGCAGAAAAACAAATAGAGTTTTGCTGCCATTTAGCAAGAGGCAGTTTAGATCCAAATGAACCCCTGATGTATGAATATGTGAAATTTGTAGTGGATTTTAAATATTTTACTCATGGTAAGTTACTGCTCCAGCCTACCTTCTTCACCTCTTTCATTTAAATTGTGTCCTTATCTGTAGCATCCTAAAGACCTTGTTCAGCTGAAAATGCCCTGTAATTGTCAGGGATGGAATGAGCTGTGGATATATTGAATATTTTTTTCGTACGAAAGTGGTGGTGAGGCTGTTGTTCAGAAGAGTGCACTCTCCTGCATGCTGTGCCTAAAGCTGATACCAGACTGATAACACCTCCATTTGACCCACTGCCAATTGTAAAGCAGCCTACTTATTCAAATAAGCGGTAAAATATGCTATTCTGTTTCACTCGTGTCAGTGAAATGACACTTTACAAAGATTAAATAGTTTGATATACCTGTAAAATCCTGAATCTTGCAAATTTTGACCTGGAGAAAGGCTGACAGGGAGACTGCAGCTGCACACTGCGAGCTGCTCAGAGCTGTCTTATGAAGCTCCCCTGCAAGCCAGGGATAGGTGGTTACAACTGTGTAACTTGGAGCCTAAAGGGTCATGCTTTAAATAACGTCAGCGTGTATCAGTGTGGCATCACTTTGTGGGTAGGAGGAGTTGGTTGCTGGGGTGTCATCAGTCACTGTACCTGTCTTAACATGAAAAAAAAGCTCTCCTTCCTCATCTTCTTAAATAAATTGTCTGGTTGTGTCTAGTGCCTACACCCTCCTGTAATGGCTTTGAGTCAGCTATTGCACGAGCTTTCAGGTCAGCCACGGAGGAGCAGATTTGCCTCGTAGCGACTGTTCGTCTTGTCACACCGCAGTTCTTAAAGGTGAGACCCCCGTGCCTGCACCTCCACCCTACCTGGGGCTCAGCCGGTGCCCGGCTCGGTGGGCAAGTGGGAACCGTGCTGAGGCAACCTCTCGGGGAGCAGCACTGAGTGCTTGTGCAGGGGGTTAGTAAAGAAGAGAGGACACCGCTGCGTTTGGGAGTGGGAGATGACATAAGTGTGTATTTTGGAAAGAGGAGGTATAAAGCGAGAAGAGGTTGTTGAGTGATGGGCTGTCCCAGCGCGGGCAGCCCGGGAAGCACCAGGACAAGGTGACCAGCTACACCACTTGGGAATTTGCAGCCTTCAAAGGCATGCATCCCACCACCCTTGGTGTAAGGAAGCCACTTGCACCTTAAAACAGTGTTTCATGGTTGAAACCGTGTTACATGGGCTCTTTCTGCTGGTCTGTAAGTGTCCTGTGGTGCAGTGCAGTGATGACAGGGATAACGACCGTAGGTGCTGCTTGCTCAAGGGGGACGTTAGCCACTTAAATATCCATATTCACATACCAATATTTGCAAAAAGCTGGGAAATTTTGCCTACAGAGTGCAAGATGAGACCCTTGGACTATTTATCCTAGCTCTGAAATTCAGCTCAGGGTAAATTATTCAGCCACTTTTCATCACTTCATGCATCGATAAAACAAGGTGTATACGTTCCTTAGAGGAAAATAAGTCAAGTGCTTTATAAGCACTGCATTTTGCTGTGGTTTATTATATCAACAAGATGTATCCTTGGTCTTGATAGCAGGCTCCTTTTGTCATTTCATAGAATTAAATGTCTCAATGTGCCAACTGTGTTGCAGGAGCTCTGCAACGTTGAAGAGCCATGTGAAGAATTCACGTCGAGGCATAGTTTAGAATGGAAGTTTTTATTCTTGGACCACAGGTAAGAGATTTGGCTTTAGTCACTGAAGAATAAATAAACTGCAGTTTAAAAATAGGAAACTTTGTGCAGCTATTGCCAGAGATCCCAAGTGGAATAGTTCTAATTAGGTGAGACTGAGTAAGAAACACTATTGTGAACTTACTAGGCATCCTTAAGTGCTTCACTCTTTTCCATATTTTAGGCAGGTAAGAAACCGTAAAAAATACTGGAAAACATCTAGAAAAATGTCAAACTTCACCAAGATAATAAGTCATTGAAACTGAGCAGTGTCAGTCCTGTTCCCTGTGTGGGTTTAGTTCTTTTGTTTTACCACTACAGCTTCCAGGCATCCTTCTAAATCTTTTGCGGTGTCAATAAGTTTTTGATTTTTCACCTTGAGAAATGATAGAATTTATGAAAATAAAAGAAAAAGCAGCAGATTCTAAGATTTAATTTGTATTAGTTTTTGACAATGCCATACGGTGGGCTAGGATTCAGCTTGGTGAATGAAACAGACTGGAACTGCTTTATTAAGCTGATTAATATAGGATTCATTTTCTTCAAAAGAAGCTAGAGGGTTTTGTTCACTTTTACTTCTCTGTATTTGACATGTATGTATAAGCACATTGCAAAATGCTACTCTTTCCGCTATCCCTCCTCTTGTGAGCTGTGCAAAGATAGTCATTACTAGAAATAGAAGACTGGTAAATAAGGCTGTAAGGAAAAAATATCCATCAGGAAAAAACCCTAAATATCATCTGCACATGTAGAACAAGAAGGAGAGAGAGTACATATAAATTATTATTAATTTATAGTTTATTAATTTATTAATTTTATAACTTTCATTTGTATAGTACACAAGATGTGTCCCTCACACATAATGTTTTGAAGCATGGAGGAACTGACCCTGTGACAGCCCTACAGTTGATGCTGTTTAGTTTGGGACAGTCAGATCATTACTCGTGTATGGAAATCTTGCTGGAGTGGCTTTGTTAGACTTTAATTGGCCTGTCCAATAATGCATGTTTTCAGAATCAGCTGATTAACGTTAAGATTTATAAAAGAGCCCTAAGCCCCTTACTTCACCGATGGAGTGAGCTGCTGTGTCCCAGCAGCTCCTGTGAATAAGGTGAGCAGGAACTACTTTGAAACCTGACAAAGAGTCTTCTGATGAATCTGGGTTATGACTCAGAGAGGAATCTCTGTGCCAGGTGCTTGCAGCCACTCCAGTCCCACTGATACCCCCAGCGAGGAAACCATTGTTACTGAGAGGAGATTAAACTGATGCAGATGCTGAGGCAGACTTTGTGACAGCCCCAGATGCAAGTGGTGAGCTCAGACCCAAGAATGAGCATGAGATCGTAGGGGTTGTCTCATTTAATCATTGATTCAAACTGCTCTCCAGTACAGTCTGCAGGATGCTGTGAAATGTTGCTGTTTCTTGCTTATTTGCATCAACACAGGCTGCCTGATGCTGAGATATGCCATCAGCAGGGGCAGAGGGTTCCCAGCAGGAGCTGGAATCGGGACCTTTCCTATCATGATCACAACTTAAATCAGAGTAAAGATGGATAGTGCAAAAAGGATTCCACAGATCTGGAATAACATGACAAAAACAGGGAAAATCTGTATTCTGGGTCTTTATGTAAATATGTATAGAGGAAGAAAGCCTGTCAATTTTCATAATGGTCTATTCCTCTTCTACACCATGGTACTGTTCTTATTTTCCCTTCATTTATTGAAAGAGTACATCTGAAAGGCTCTCTGAAGACTGTGCATTCCCATTTGCACAGTGAGTTGCAGGTCTCAAGGCTGGAACTTAAGCTAACAAAACGCTTTTAAATTGCTCCACAGGCAAGGCAGCTCCTTGTCAAATGACAGATGAGGAAAATTTTGTGATTGCTTTCTCATATAAAGAGCCCTGGCAATATTCAGGAAAGTATAATACTTTCCTGATCAGCTTAAGTGTTTATCTGATGTGCATCTCAAAGACATTATTGTATTGAATATAAGTATGTTATCAAAAATAGGAGAGAAAGTGATGTGTTCTGCCAAAGAGACAGCAAGGAAGGACACTTTCATAAATACACATATTATCATCATTAACAGAAATCTGGGTCACATGAGGGAAAGGAACACAGTGCTCTATGAAAAGTTACTTGAAAAAGTAAAGCTGCATTGTGGCAGAGACCACTGTGTACTCAGCACACGCTGTTTCAAGAGATTTGCTATTGAGAGGAGGACTGGCTTTCCCAGCTAACCCCTTGTGCTGAGACTCAGGAACTCCTGCTCACACCTTGATCCTCTTGGGACTGCTGTTTAGCAGACCCCTAGCTGTCTTCCTTTTCTCCCCATTTCCCATCTGGTGCCAGGCTGCCTGCAGTTGTGGGGAAGAGGGAGGTTATAGACCTGCCTGGCCTCTCTTTAGTTGACTAATCTATGTGCACTGTGTCTCTTAGGAGTGCAAATGTAGAGCTGGGTGCCTTAACCAAGAGAGAACTTCCCACATTAATAACCAAGGAACTCAGGACTGATCCATCCAAATCCAAATGTACTATATTTAAATCACTTTTTACTTCTATTCTTAGCCACTTTATGGCATTCACCTTCCTTAAGAGTACTTAGCACACCAAGAGAAAGGCAGCGGGGGAGGCAGGTTTGATAAGGCACCATCCCCTTCAGCCTGCCCTGTTATGAGTCATTAACCATTTCACTAACACACCGCCACCTTATTCCTGAGAAACACACTGATCTTGGCAGGTGAGCCCCACACTATCAGCATATCCTGCAGCCAGAACAAACAAATCTAGAATTGACAGCACAATAGTGAGGTAAGTCACTGCAGTGTGCCTATCTAAATACTTCATTGATTCCTTATCTACCTACCAAAGCTAAAGCACTCCTAAATCAGCCCTGTACCTATTGCTATCTATACTACCAGCACAGGAAGTTTTGCTGGCTAAAATTTCCCAAGTTTTTCCATGACAGGCATTGCTTTTTCTCTTACCCAAGCTGGTCCTGACACACACTGCAGCTTCCCACTTGCTCTTTCTTCTACAGTTCCTACCCAGATGACATTTACATCCAACCTACTGGATAATTTTACTCCAGCTCCAAGTTGTTATGCACAGGAGCAGCCGTAGCGTTTCTCAAGCTGCGTCTCACAAGCATCCTTAATGAATTGAGTCACTCGCATACGTACATGCCTTTCTCTACACCCACGTAATGAATAGGCTATGAAACAGTAAACACACACCTTTTCATTTTCTCAGTTTTTACCTCTCCCTCGCTGTGGTTTTTTTTGTTTTGTTTGTCTGTGACGATACCTTGTTGCGTATATGAAAACCCATTCCTGATTTCTCTGCCGAGTGAACGATCGAGGTTTTTGTTGCTGGTATCACAGCCTATCTGCCAGGATGTCAAAGCATCAGGTTTTGTGCTCATTCCCTCCCCTTTGCTTCCTTTCTAGGGCTCCACCTATTATAGGATACTTACCCTTTGAGGTTCTGGGAACGTCAGGGTATGATTACTACCACGCAGATGACCTGGAGCTTCTTGCTAGGTGCCATGAACACTGTAAGTTCCCCTCCCTCTGCAGCCTGCCTGTCTTTGATCTCGTTTGTCACTTGTGCAAAACCCTTTACTGTCGTCACAAAAAGCATCTTCTTCACAAGGGAATTCTCTCTTTCCATGACAGACTGTCATAGCTGATGCTTACCAGGGAGGTTGAAATCCGCAGAATTCACTCAGATCAGGAGCTGTGTGTGCAGGTTTCCTAAATTGGCAGATATCTTGTTTGAGCACAGGTTGTCTGAGATTAATAGATTGGAAGTCAAAACTTTTCCCCTTCTGCCCCCCCGTTTGTGAGGGCAGCCCCAAAACCCTGTGAGTTTTGTTGATTGTCACAGTTCATGGGTTCTTGCTGTTCACCCTGGGCTCCAGAACCAGCCATGGGGCTCAGCTCACCAAAAGGCCTTCTGAAAGCAACATTTGGTTCATCTACCTGTGCAGCTTGTTGTTGTGAACCTCACTTACTCATTAGTAAAATGCTTCTGGAGATTCAGAATTTTTTTAAATACAGAAGTACCAAATACAGTTTCCCTGTGGGTAAAGATGGCTCATGTTTGGTCGACCTGAAAGTAAAGCAACAGAGCAGAAGAGTCCAGTTCAGGCTGATGTATGAACACCAAAGAAGGTTGACTGAGTTCATCTTTGTGCAAGGAGAAATAGTGTGACCTGTGGGAGCCAGGGCACAGGGAGAACTTCGCTTGAGGACCGTGTCAGTGCAGCCTGCTGAAGGCTAGAGCTGATGCAAGGAAGGGCAAGAGGTGTCTGCATATGTGGTCTACTCTTAATCAGTGTGCTGTTCCTACCAGATGTGAGATGCCTTACCTCTGAGTTCATGATTTTTCCATTTTATTAGGTGCATTTCAGACTGAGATATTTAGCCAGAATTATGTCTGTCCTCCACTGGCTTTGCTTTACCAGGCAAAAATTGCAATAAAAAATGACTACATACTTTGTAAAATGCATCTAGGTAATCAGATATTTTGCTAAGAAATATTACTTAGAGGTTTCCTGTGGGAAAACTGTCTGTTTGTCTCTCTATTATCTCTGCTTGAAAGGAGAGTGTTTTGTCAAAAGGAAACAAGGACACCCCAGGGAGTGGAGCAAGTGGGATGCTGTAATTACTCTGAGATGCAGAGCAGTGCAATGTAGGGACCAAGAAATTCCACAGCCCCCCAGCCCACTGGAGTGAGACAAGCTGCTTCACCTCTGAGTTGCAAACCACTCCCATCTCTACCAAGTACCCTCTTCCACTTTACAAGTATGAGGTGCTGAAGGGCCTAGTAGAGGATGGAGAAAATAACTTCTCTGATTGTTGTTTCCCTGCTGATTTCTCTGCCCTGTCAAGGCAGAGCACTGGTACAACAGCTGTCAGGGAGGCAGGTTGCCTGACTGAGTGCACGGAGGAGGCTGTGAAAGGGGCAGACACAAGTCGTGTCAAGCTCAGCAAGTGTGTCGATGGGAATATTAACAGAGTGTTTTAATTGCTTTAACGTACAGTACTTCTTAGTCCTGTTTGCTTAAAAGACCATTCAGACAGAAGTGACCTACTTAAGCAGACAGTGTCCTTTTAGTAATGTGTGTGTGCAGTTTGATGTAGACTCAAACTGTACTGAGAGTGGGTCAGATCACTCAGCAGAGAATTGATTGCATGATTTATGTTCTACATCCCTACTAGCCATGGATTTCTCTTACATATTAAAGGAGTATTCGCACAACACACCTGTAGGAAGGGATCTTTTTACTGCACAAGGGAAGGTGCTGGCAAAATGACTTGGAGAAGTTGCTCCAGGACATCTCTGCCATGACCAGGAGCTGAGGGATCCCCAGCACAGCATGTTAGCCAGAAGACCTCTGCTAAGTGCTTCATCTAAAGGCCATCACTGTTAATGGGATCACTAAAGAAGTTAGTCCTGATATTTTAACAAAGTAGAGTGATGGTGAGTGAACACACATGGGATAGTGTGGCCTGATAAGTTCCTGTTTGTTAGGCTGACAACTCTGGGCAGGCATCTTGCCTATTGCCAAGTGAAATGGATTTGCTGAAACCACATTTGTATGTTAGTTTACATTAATTATTGGTATTTTATGTGAACATGTTTCATTTTGTACTCCCAGCAGTCCAGAACAATTAGTGTGGTTAATGTAGTTCCCCTCATTATTTTCCAGTTGTAGTACAGCACTTGAGATTTTTCTGGATGTAGGCTGATAATATGTACCAGGTCTGCTGTATTTAGGTGATCTCTTGGAAGAAAACTCTCAGTTAAACTGCTAAAACTCCACTATCTTATTGTTTATTGGGATTCTGACTTCACACCTTCAGTGTCTGAAATGCATTCTCATGTACATGTGAAAGGCAAGTACTTTAAATAGTGTTATTTATGCTTATTTCAGGGGAGCCCATGAATAAGTTATAGGTATATAGCTAGTGATAGTTATACCAGTTATAAGAGCAATCTCAAAATACCAAAGGGCACTCCTGAAAGTTAGCAGAAAAGGACCCAAACAAAAGCTGAGTACATGGTTGTGTATCATCTGTCGTGTTTATAAAGCTCAAGAGCCATTTTGGCACTGCCACAGTCTGTGGGAGGTGTGTGGCACTCAGTGATTTTTCTAATTACCTTTGCACCAGGAAATCCCTGTTTGCTATAAATTGCTTTCTTTTTTTGTTAAACAGTGATGCAGTTTGGAAAAGGAAAGTCCTGTTACTATCGATTCCTGACCAAAGGCCAGCAGTGGATATGGCTGCAGACACACTACTACATCACCTACCACCAGTGGAATTCCAAGCCCGAGTTCATCGTTTGCACTCACCTGGTAGTTAGGTAGGACCAAGAACCAAACCCTTCACAGAGTGTGTCTCAGTGTTCAGCCATTACTTTTTCTAGTTCTGTTTTGTGTTAACCAAGTATTTGCTGTGCCTACTGACACATTAAGATGGTATGTAATTCCCTAAAACTGTTATGACAGGGAACATGTATTTTCATTACTCTTTTTCCTTTTTCATCAACCAGGCCAAAAACCTGGAAGCCACTGTTGGCCAAGTCTACCAGTGTGTTACGTTCCCCTTTTATCCCTAGTGATGACATGGCCATTGAAAGATTTAAAGCTGTTAAGAATCAGGTGGCTTTATGGTCATGAATGGGATCGTATATCTCCTACAAAACGTTTTGATCAGAGTTTTAAATATTTATGACTTGAAGTTAGCTGCTGGCTTGCAAGCCTTATTCCTCACCCCAAATCCAGCTCAAGATCCTCCCCTAGTGGAAAGCTGCTTACCCTGAGTTCCAACCCGTGCTGGAAGGCAGTGCATGTGTGGGATGCTCTGTGATATGAGCCTTCTGGAGGGGGATCTGCTTTATTACCACTACCATCATTACAGGCTCTGCAGTCCTGGGTACAGTGGGATGGGACACTGCTCTGTTGTTTCTGATCTGTGGAATTACTCACAGATTGCTAGGCTCTATGATGATGTTCCTTTAAGTACCTTGTATATTGAGAGAGTGTGAGTGCGTTGTGCAAAGCTTGGGACTCAATATGAAAACTTCACAGCGACCTGTATAGTAAGATAGTTACCACAGAGTAAACAATATCTAGACTGAAAAACTGGATTTGAAATGGGTTTTGGTTTTTTTGGGTTTTTTAGTTATGCAGAAGTTCGGGCTGAGAGAAGGCGAGATCTTGGCCTTGAAGAGTCATCAATTGAACTGGCATCCTCTTCTCTAAAGGTACCGTGTCCCTTCACAATTGAGTAAGAAGGTGTTTAAACCAAACCGAGTAGTCACTTACCAATCTTAGGAAAATACCTGTTATTGCTTCTCCTTTTTCTTTATTCCCATTTTGTTCCAAGCCTTCAGCTGGGTTATGACTCAGGCAGATCCTGAGAAGTTTTCCTCTGCATAGCTCTAAACTACCCAGCTTGGCTCAAGGCAGGCTGGATGAGCTTTGAGCAACCTGGTCTTAGTGGAAGGTGTCCCTGCCCTTAGCAGAGGGATTGGAACTAGATGATCTTTAAGGTCCCTTCCCACTCAGAGCATTCTCTGATTCCATAATAACTGCAAATTCAGCAGTTCAGTTTCTCTGTTCTGCTCCTTGTTATCTTTCTGAGACCATTACACAAACAACAGGTTAAACCTCCCTAGCTCAGAAGCAGAAAAGCAGAGCTGGAGATGGACGTTAGATTACTGTTCCTGTCACCCTTAGTAAGGTGCAGAGGATCCAAGTGCAGGGCAATATTACAGGGTACCTGTTTTGCTAGTGCCAAGCTGTCACTGATAATCAGATGAAGATTGGAAGTGAAGGGAAAACACTTATCCCAGATTTTAGTTCTACTGTTGGATCGCATCTGTTGGATTGTGACCAGAGCATTTACTTCTATGGCTTGAATCTGGCATCTCAACACACCTGCCCAGTTGACAAGGTCATTTTAATTACTTTTAAGTTCTTCCTCTCAGTAGTTTACAGATAAGACCACCAAAGTAATTTCAAGTGGATTGTTGTGCAGTTATCATTCCATTAGCTTCATTGATCTTCAAACATTACTCTGTGGGAGGTCAGGCTGTTCCCCTCTGTGCATGTGCTGCCTGGTTCCTGCCCAGAACAGCCTGCTGGGAGCCACTGCTCCCCAGGGAGCAGCAAGTGGGGTTACAGCTCCCAGCATCACCCTGTACCTGTCCCCCTCAGGAGACGTTTGCTGTAGGTTCTCCTGGGGCTGCAGCTGATGTCCCCATGCCACTGCTCCACATATCTTCCAGATCATCTCTCTCCATCTCTGCAATGGATAAAACCATTCCCCAGCCAGCCCCTCGGGCTGCCTTCTCTCATTCCCCCCTGCCACCACACCCCAGTGTGCCACAGCCAACCAGCTGTGACATTCCTGAAGAAATCCGGCAGAAAGGAGCTGACTATAAAAGCTTATTTCCTTTTGCCCACAGCTCTGTGGGCAGGGAAGCAGGAGAGTGGCACGCTGGAGCAGGGGACACGGGCAGGAATCCCCATGGCATTTGCCTGACACGTGGTGTGTCCCTTCCACTGCTGCTCACTGTCATCCGATGGGTGTCCCAGGCACCTCCCCAAGCCGGGGTGCCTCGGGCATGATTCTGAAGGTCGTGTCTACCTGAAGGCTTTAGGGTGAACAGAGTGAGCGGGATTTGGTGCTGCACACCCAGCCGGTTGTTTTTCTCTGCAAACAAATGGTCAGGGAGGTGGAGGTCCCCTCCAGTGCCATCCCCCCCCCCACTGACGATCTCACCGCTTGTGCTTCGCTCCCCGCAGAGCCACAGCAGCTACCTGGACGTGGGGCAGTGCGGCAGCAGCCAGGATGCCAGCCGGGAGGGAGTGTCCCTGTCATCCCACAGCTCCCGGCGCTCCTCGCACACCGCCCTCTCCGACTCCACGTGTAGGTGCCAGCGCGGCCGGGGACAGCCCAGCATGGGGGCAAGGAGTGGGCTGGAGGGCAGAGCAGCCTCCAAAATACTGAGGTTCTGCTGGAGGTGACCGAGCCGGGGTGGGAGGGAAATGCTCAGCACTGGGACCAACATACTGTGTCATAAAAAGTTACGGTGCAGCAACAGAGCCACGGCGACGTGCTGCCTCCTCCCTCTTAGCCCACTGCTGGTGTGAGAGCAGTGGTCCCTCGGTTTGTCACCAGCTGAGGGTCACGGCTGTTTGCTGTGGCTCAGAGGACAGGAGGTGGCTCGCTAGCTTGACTGAGCCCCGAATCTTACTGACAAAAGTTTTATTTTGGGATAATATAATTTTATTGTGGGGTGTCTGCTGCTAAATCCCTGCAGAAGGAGCTCAGAAGGATGCCTGCCTTGCTGGCAGCTTCATCCCAGCTCCTGCGAGTGCCACCCCTGCCCTGGGAGTGACAGTGAGGTAACCACAGTGCCCGTGCAGGGCTGTGTGTAGGAAACAACTCAGGAGACTTTTCTTGAAATACTTGCCATGGGGACAGTGGGAATCTCATCTGGAGACACCCATGGAGGGCAGACTGAGACATGAGGTTGGCATCAGAATGGACCCCAATGAGTCGGGCAGGAAGCCAGAGGGACCACAGAGGGGCAGTTTGGGGACCCGCTTTGGCAGCGCTTGGGTCACTGTTCATCTGTACATGCAGAACTCAGGCTCAGCCAGGGTACCCAGGCACAGGGCTGCTGTATCATGGTGAACTGTCTCTTTTCCAGCCACGTCATCCATGCGGCGCACGGACACCAGCACTCCCACCCGGCCGTCAGTGCCCGGGGGTCAGGCAGAGAAGGCAGCCCTGCGGCTGGCATCAGTCGGAAGCACTCAGGTCAGTGGTCCTGGCAAGGAAAAGCCTTTCTGAGGCTGTTAAAGAAACCTTGATCTTTCCCTCAAAGATGCTGGATCCCCTGCTCTGAGTGTGCTGGGATGTCTCAGGGCTGTGGGGAGCAGCACTGGCTGGCAGAGCCAGTGGAGGGATGCCAGAGGCTCCTCTGCTTCCTCCTTTCAGGATTCATTTTGCTCCTCCAGGCTAAATGGCTTCTCACGCCACCAACCTGTTTTTCTTGGGGTTTGTACACATGAAATGGCCTTTATCCAAAATAGATGCTGACACTAAGGACTTGCAATTAGCAGGGGCATGCAGGAGCTTAAATTCTCCCTTCAGAGTGATTCTCAGACCTGCACATGGAGTTGTCTAATTCCCTGCACTTGTTCATCCCTGGTATGGGCGGGTACAGCACCAGCTCTATGCTGGAGGTGCTATGGACCTACAGTAAGGCAAAGTTTTCATTTCTAGGCCATAGCCACTCCTCAAGCCCCTGGTGAACACCTCCCTCAGCACCCTGTGGCTCAGCTGGCAGTCCCCTCCCAGCACCCTGTGATGGTACGTGGTTTATCTTTATTAAGTGCAGTGGTGTGACCAGTCACTGGGGCAGCCTTGGTGGCTCTGATTCACTACCCACCTCCTTGCTTGCTCGTCCCAGAGCGGGGACAAGGTTTCTGTGCCCTTTCTGTTGCTGTTACTAAGATTTACCTGAAACCAAATTATTGCAACCTCTTAATTTCAGTGAGCAGACAGAGCAGGTGGGACACCCAAGGAAGTAGTGCAGAAGTTTTATACTTGTCAACTGATTACAGGCTGATACAATGATGAAGTTTTATTCCCCTGGGGATACCATGAAAGATTTGAGTTAGGCCAGAAAGAGAAAAAACAAAAACCACAAGAAAAATGTGGGAGTCATAAATCATAACAGTGAGATCCATCCTCACAGAGCTTTGATGTCAGTGTAGTAAATGTTCAGACTATAAAGCAGGAATTGAAGATGGCCAGCATAGGTGTGAAGGATGGACCCCCAGGTGGGATTGCAGTGTAACTTGGGCCTGACATTTGACAAATACCATCAGCAGCACAACTGAAAGCCCGGCCAGGAGGTGTAGCAAGGGTTTGGATGCGGTGGCCCAAAACCAGCAGGGTGTTACCTGTGTATAAACACAGAAATTTATTAGACCAGCACCTGGAGGGAGGCACTGAGTGTGAGCCAGATGTGTTCCTGCTCTGGAACTACAGTGGTACTTTGTTTAAATATGCAATTGTCATTTTTTGTCAGCACCATCTTTTCTACAGAAAAAACTGAAAAGCAGTCATTTTTCTGCAGCCAACATCACGTATGAATGTCAGTAGCAGACTGGTCCTACCCTGTGATCCTTTTTTCTGTTATCTGCAGCCCGTGTACCACTTCCCAACCCAGCTGGGGATGATGCATCAGCTGAAAGAGCAGCTGGAGGAGAGGACTCGCATACTGCAAGCTGACATCAAGACTCAGCAAGAAGAACTCCACGTCATCAAGGAGCAGCTCCAGTTAGTGCAGGACTCCAACCTGCAGGTACTTGCTGTCCCAGGGACTCCCAAACTCACCAGCCATTTGCTTTTCCTTTGAGCACACAGATCAGTAACAAAGTTGTCTGTGGTGAAAGCATTAGGAAATGAACTCTGGACAAATTGGTAATTTGGTCTCAGGCGTGGGAGTGGTGTCTCCAGAGAGCTGAGTGACATCAGTACGTGGCTAAGTATTGAATCAGTAATATTCATGATTTACAGAAAAAGCAATCCCAAATTAATCCCAAGTCCTCTCTGTACAAAAAGTTTGGTGGTTCAGTATCTGATCAGTGCTGCTGGATCCTTTGTGCCACTCCTGAAAAACAGCAAACACAATGGATCTGGAATGGTCATGGCCCTGAATAAATATTTGACCCAAGCTAACATTTGATTTTCTGTTACTCCTGGTTCACTTTGCCCCCGGATGTAGAGATGCTGCTGCTGCAGTGTTATTTCTCCCAGGCAGTACCACCAACAACTCATGTGTCTCTTTTACTTTAAGATGCTGATGCAGCAGCCAATCCCCGTGGTCTTTAACAACGTGCAGCACCCGAGCCCCAGGAGGCCACCGCCCCAGGGGACACCCAGGCAGAGCACAGCCAAGAAGTCACAACAACCAGGCCTCATGGGGACGAAGCACTACTGCAGCAGCCACCTGCCCTCACCGCGCCAGTTCCTCAGGGACCCCCACAGCACGGCCACCCAGGTCACTGCCTGCTTCCTTGTCTTCATCATTCCCATTCCTGGCTTTTAAATATTTGCCTGCCTTTTAAATATTTGCCCTCCCCCTCATGGTCCCGTGCATCCCCTCTGTGTTGGTTTTTCTGCGTTGCTGGCATTACAGAATTTGTGTTGAGAGTCAGTTGTGAATAATGTCATTCAACAGTAAAAGTAAAAACCAGGTAGCCAAAAAGCATTTGAACTCGGGGACTGCTGGGCCCTCCTGGTGACCCTGGGGAGGAACTGAGTGGGAAGTGTGGGCTCTCAGTCACTTGTGTTCATGATTGCAACACAATGCTCGTTTGTAGCCACTGAGAGTTGTGGCTTCACAACACAGGAACATAGGCATCGTTTGGAAAGATTAGTTTTCCTCTGCCCGAAGAGTCTTGGAAAGCAGGTTTGAAAAACAGTTTTGTCATCACTAGACCTAAATCCACTATTAAGATGGTCATTTCCCCTTGAGAAAGACTTGAATTCTCCAAAAGCAAAAAAGGCTTTCTGAGCTCTTTTTGCTGCTCTAAAGGACAGATGAGAAGCTTTCCTTGGGGACTTTGAATTTACACTTCCCCTCTTAAGCTGTTCTCCTCCCCCTCAATCCTTTTGTACTCTGATTTCTCAAGGGACTGTCTGTCTCTGCTGCTGGCAATGCCAGCACCTGCCCTGCAGGGACAATAAATGCCAATGGGTTGGCTGTCCTGAAAAGATAGGCTGTTTCTACTGCTGTGTTCAGGAACAATGTCCTATTGTTCCTTCCCCTTTTTCCATCTGCACACTGTAAGCACTTATTTAAACCTTCTGTTAGGGAGCTTTAAAACTTACATGGGTGTCTCTGTTTCAGGTACAGCAGCAGCAGCAGCACCTAATGAGAGGAAGCCAAGGCCAGCAAGCGTGTCTGCCAGGGCAGGCAAGCATTTCAGTGCCCCTCTACAACAACCCCATGGTGTTCTCACAAACACACCCCATTGCAGTGGCTGCACAGATGCCACCTGACAGCAGCGAGAGGCAACCACAGTCTGAGTACAGCCAGGACAGGAGCCTCAGGTACCCACAGCCCTGCCTTCCAAGTAGCTCAGTAAGCTTTGGACATCTGCTGCTGTTAGAGGAGTAAACAGGAAAAACTAGTCTTTCCCAAACCTGTGTCTTGTGTGTTCTGAAGCTCTAGAGTGCCTTTTCTCCAGGCAGGACAAGTGCTGTGGCAATGCCTTTTTTTTATATGCTACTGGAAACATCATATAAAACATATACAACTGTCCCAAACTATTCAACTACCTTTCAGAGAGACAGGGCCTACAAGATCCAGCTGTTCCAAAATATTGTTTAAGGAAACAGGATAAACCGTAGAGGTCTCATCATCTATAAAATGTATTTCTCACATGAAAAATGTAGCAAATTTCAGCTCACCTCGGCAAGTCCATTAGAATCATATAATCACAGAAAGGTTTGGGTTGGGAGGGATCTTAAAGAGCATGTAGGGACCCTTATGCCATGGCAGGGACACCTTGCACTAGACCAGGTGGGTCAGAGCCCTGTCCAGTCTGGCCTTGAACACTTCCAGGGGTGGGGCACCCACAGTTCTGTTGGGCTTCACCACTGTCACAGGGAAGAATTTCTTCTTAAGATCTAATCTAACCTTGCCCTTTGTCAATTTAAAGCCATTCTCCCCTTGTCCTGTCACTATTTGCCTTTGTAGAAAGCCCCTTCAGGCACTGGAAGGCACTCAAAAGTCTCCCTGGAGCCTTCTCCAGGCTGAACAACCCCAACTCTCTCAGCCTGTCTCCATAGGAGAGACGTGATGTCATAAGAAGCATCTTGTTCCATTAGCTAGTTTTCAAGGCAGTGGTTTGTCTGCTTTCATGGAGAATTTTCAGGGATTTGTTTCTAGAGACTGACAGGAGCTTGAATCTCCCTTCCCTGACCATCCTCTGTTTTGTTTCACTGCAGGATGCTGTTGGATCAATCCATCCAAGCCATGATGCCTGCAGCCAACAGCAGTGGCCAGGCTGTACAGAGCAGTGCCAGCAGGCAGCAAGGAAAGTGAGTCTTTGCTGGCCCTTGTTTTCCTGCAGTGTTTTAGCAGAGGACTTTATGGCATTAAAAATAACTTGGCAAAACTTGTACCTGATCACGCAAACACGAACAGTCTCAGTCTGAAATGAAGCAAAAGTTCAACTGGTTAGGAGAAAAAGTAATGAGAATATTTTTTAACTACAAAAAACTTTATGATAAATAAAGTGCTTTGGAAAAAAAGAATCAACCGTTCTCTGGCTTTTGCAAATCATAAAATGCCTAACCAAGACATGGAGATGTACAGCCTTAAAAACCTTCATTTTCTGCATTTCCAGTCCGTGTTTGGTGGGGAGGGGGAAATCTGGGGCCTGTTGTTGCCAGGATCTGTGTGGTTTGACAATCCCTGCTCCAGTCTGGTTCCTGCACCACCTGGACTCCTCAGTGCCTATTCTAGTGGTGGGTCTGGGTTTGGGTTCTTACACCTGATTTTCCTCCTCGTGGCAGATTCGTTGTGGAGCAGCAGACCCTGCCTCCCCCAGCACAGGTACAGCCAGTCACCTGTAGCACCGTCCGACCTCCAGCCCCATCGCCCATTTTCTCCCCATCTCTGATGATCCCACACACCAGCTTCACATCCCACCAGGCCAACACGCCGGTTCATCTCCACCAGTGGCCACAGCAACAGGCTGCACAGCACCGTCTCTACCTTCAGGTATTGGAGCGCAGGTTTCTGAGGAGGCACAGGGTTTGGGGTCGGTTGGGGTGTTTTTTTTGAAGGAATGGGGCTTACTTACCTGATCAAACTTGATCAGTGCACTTGCACATCCTCCATTCCCGTTGTATCTGCACATAGCCACGTGCTCAGCCTTTCTAGGCTGCACCTGCTCAAGGCCGTTATTTTCCCACACACTCAGTTATCACCTAGTGTTCAGTTTTTAAAACACAGCTTTTCATACAGAGGAGCTCTAGTGGGAAGCTTACTGTAGACATGAAACATGATGAGAGAGAAGCTGTTTTTAAAACATGCCTCTTACTGTTATGTCTCAGCAGGGCAAGGTTTTTACCAGCTGCTATCATGGCTTCTGTTTTAATAAATGGGTATTTCACAACACAAATCTCTGGAGAAGGTGATTTTGGTTTTTCAGCACAGTTTTCATCAGTGTATGCTGAACCAGTGATGCTGCCAAGGAGAGGGGTTGTTGAAACTAGTCATTAATTATTAACACACTCTACCAGCCTTGCCTGGTTGGCAGAGGTAAGTTACAGTCCTCCAGGCAAAGATGGCAGAAAAGAAAGCAGCAGGAGCTGAAAGCAGCCACACAGCAGGACTGGATTTATAGTGAGAAGTGAATTGTTGTTGTCAGCAAATGTGGGCATGAGCCATCCCCACTTTGGGTACATGTCCTCATGAGCTGCACTGACTGAGGTCCAGAGGACCAGCAATAGGGATGGCAGAATGATGATGCTGGGACAGATAAGTAGCTCCAGGGCAACAGAAAACCAGGCTTTGGTATCACAATGCCTTTCTTAGGGGGTTAACCAGTAAGTCCCCGTCTTTGGGATACCAGCCACAGGGTCACATGGCTGAGGTCACTCTACAGCCTCTTCATTGCTTGCCTGAAGGTCCTTCCCATGGAATATGAAAGTTGCACATCCTGCACATTTTACCATGCATCTAAGTAGCTTTTGAAGGTCTCCATTCCTGCTGGGCCCTCCATGGGGATGGTGGGACAGATGGGTTCTGCTTCCCCTCCGTACTCTCTGTCATTGTTAGTTGTGCTGACAGCAGCAGCATCCCGAGGGATAAAACTCGTACCCTCAGTGGGTAGAGGTTACCTTTAGGACTTCATACACACACTCCTGGGTATGAGTCTCAGCACTGGCCCTGCAGCAAGAGAGGGAATGGCTGGATGATGGGGCAGGTCTGATATCTCAGATTTGTGTCTCCCAACAGATGCAAGGTCCTGAGCTGGTGCCCGGGGGTCCAACGCAGCGCATCTTCCAGCCACCCCACGCTCCACAGCAGAACCCCCTGAGCTACTTCCTCCACCCACAGCAGCAGAGCCACCACGCACAGGGCCAGCCCTGCAACCTGCCTGACCTGCCCGAGATGCAGCTGCCCTGAATGTTGGCTCTGGGAGGCAGGGACCACGTGGCTGCAGCTGCTCAGCACCCCGGGCGCACGCAGGGGAGAGCGCGGTGCCGTCAGAGCACGGGACAGGTGAGGTCGGGCTCTGTGGGAAGGTGGTGGCTGGAGGAACAGTCCCCAGTGGGGATGGATGGCTCCAGGAGCACCCTATCCGTTGGGATTTCCATGCAGCCAGTCCATAATACTGCTCTGGCAGCTGTTTGTGCCCTGGCCTAGCACCGTGGTGCAACTGGAGGCAGTGGCTTTCTGGCTGCAGGGAGGTCAGTTATCAGGTCGCCTTGAAGCTTGGTTTGCAATGGAGAAAACCCTTTTCCATTCAGGACTTCAGTGCTGAAAGTCACTGTGAATTTAAGCCCAGCATTTGAAGCACATAGACAGACTGTACTGGTCCACAGGACGCCGTTGGATTACCGTGTACATAACTCGTTTTGCTGTAGTAGGTCCATTGTGGATTTTTTGTCCCCTTTTTTCTATACCTCAGTCCCACAGTTTTTTGTTTTCCAGGAGATTGGATAATGCTGCTAATTTACATAACACCACTTTTGCCTGAATTTCTTACTGTTATACCAGCTCACATCGCAGCTAGTACAATATTTGTCATGTTTTATTTTTGGTTAACAAGTGCATAGAAATTTATAGGGTTTTTACTCCCTGTAGCCAAATATTTTTCAGGTTACAGACAAAGAATCCTTACTCCTTCTATTTCTGTTTTTTTTTGTTTCATTTAGAGTGACGTAGTTGTGTATGTTTCTATACATAAAAACAAACAAACATGCATAGACTGGCATATGACAGCAAACTTTCTGGTTTTGCTAGGTCATGTTTCAATTTGGCACACCCAAAATGTATGATCACAACACAGGCGATGTTACAAGCCCATAGGGTCAGCAATAAATTGTATTTTTGTAAATTGTCACTTTTTAACTATAAGTTTATATTTATGAATTGAAAAACAAGTTTATTCCTCAGTGGGTGTATAGTTAAGTGTCCCTACTGTTTGTGTCTTTCCAAAGGAAAAATGAAAATGTACATTTTTGAGGCATTAGTAGCTGAGTACTACCTATGGGCACTGTTAGAGGCCAAAAGCAGGAGATGGGTTAGGCCATTACTTTGCAAAATAATGATTAGTTAGGACCAAGTCCATCTAGCAGTAAAGGTCCACCTGACAGTCAGAGCAAAGTTTAGGGAGGGGTTAGTTTGAAATGTCAAAACCAAGCAAACCGTGCTTTTTTTTTTTTTGCCTTTTTTTTGGCATTTGTTTCCTTTTTTATCTTGTGCAAGCTGCTTGCTTGGCTCTTTGTAGCACTGCAGCAGGTGGACACTGTTACTGGTGTTACTGGTGGAGCAGCCTTTGGCACAAGCAGCCCTGTGTTTCAAGAAAAAGGGGAAAGTGGGAACGTGTCAAAGCAATAGCTACAGCTAATGGTACCTTGAGCTCTCCAATGCCATAAGCACAGATCTGTTATAGCTCTATCTATGTAATTGTAGCTGTAGCTGTATGTCTATAGCTGGCTCACTTGCCCCCAGAAGCCACGCATTTTCTGTGCTGCAGCACTGGGAGGATTTTGTTAACTTTGGGCCCAGGCTGAGCTTGGGGGGCAGAAGAACAGGACTGTTTCAACGTGGGTGAACAAGGCTGTGGCAGCCAGAGTCTCCTGGAGAACTCAGGAGTGAAACAGAAGTGTGACAGCTCTGCCTCAGACAGGATTTTGGCTGCAGCCTCCCTGCTGCCTGGTGGGGTCCAGCAGGGCTCCCCCAGCCCCTGTACACCAGAGGCTGTTCCCCAGCAATTTTTCTCGGGAAGGGAATGTGTTTCTTCTGTGCCACATTGCCTGGGGTGATGATGGTGGGAGGACAGGCTGCTGGAGCAGGGGCCAGCCAGGAGCTTTCAGGGGGCCGATGCAAGGCACTAACCAGGGTTGTGCCTTGTCAGCTCAGTCCCTGGCTGGGCCCCAGCCCAGCCAGAACATGCAGCCCTGGACAATGGGCAGCAGAGCAGCTGCCCTCAGACACAGCCTGAACCAGCCCCTTCATTTCAAACCACAACAACAAATTCTGGCTACAGCAGAGCCACGAGCCAGAGCCACGGCACTGCTGGTAGTGGGATGTGGAGCACCTGCCTTTGCAGAACAACCTGGAGCTGAAATAATAACACGTCATCCCTTGGCTCTTAGAGCCCAAGCCCTGGAGAGAGCAGGGGGGATTTCCTGCCCTGGCATTTGTGCTGCAACAAGGGCCAGCACAGAGCCCTTGGGGTAGATAACTTTATTTTTTTTTTCAAAGCACTATGACTTTTAGAGTCTCCCTCTCCTCAAGACAGCGGGATTGCTCATGAGGCTGTGGCAGGAGGGCGTTGTATTTTTGGGAGTTGTTTGGGGGTTTTTCCCACCATAACCTTGGAACGTAATGTCAGAGGGGAGGCAAACATACACGTGTGTTAGGGGTCCACCACTGTACAGTTAGTGGCTCAGGGTGGCTTGCAAGAGGGAAAGGTCGAGCATCTTCCTGGCTTGCCCATTAAACCTGCATCATCCCAGTCCACCACCATGGCTGGTGTGCAGTGTCCCAGCCACCTATGGCAGGTGCCAGTCTCAGAGGTGGTGGTGGTTGGGGTCAAGGGCTTGGGGAGTGTATTTTTTTAACAGTGCTTGGTAGGGAGGCAGCTGAGGCAGAGCAGTTTTCCAGCACTGCTGTGGCTTTGACAGCGAGTGAAAGAAGAGGGTTGGGAAGGGGTTTGGGGGAGGTGGGGGGTGGTGGGTGTGCCGGATGGGGCCGTGCCATAGGCACAGCCCTTCTGATGGCAGGGAGGGCTGGAGGGGCACTGTGCCCCTGCTTGCAGCCTCTCAGCGAGGAGCACAGGAGCTTTGTGAGGATGTTTACATGTTAGATCAGCCTTGCTGAAACAAGAGACCTAAAAACGCACTTTATCATGTGCCCCCCTTTATTCCCAGTGCCCACCCCAGCCACTGGCCTCGCTGCTGGTGGGCAGGGGGGGCTGCACAGTCCCAGGCACTGCCTCACAGGTAGGGCCTTGTTTTCCAGACATGCTCCAAAGGACAAAATCCCACCATCCCTTTCTGGGGCTTGCTCGGTCCCTGCTCAGTCTGCCTCCAGCTGAGGGAGGGAAGGCTGAGTCAGGGCCATGGGGTTTTTGCCTTATATTGTCACTCACTCTCAAAAAAATATATGGATAAATAAATCTCTTTATTCAGGTTGATTTGTATTTGTTTACCTCGGTATTAGCTATGACCTGTGTTTTTAGGACTCATTTGGAATTGAGGGTTGCTGGTGGGTTTGGTTCACACACCCCCAGCTGCAACAAGAGAGCACAAGTGTGACTTGTTGGTGACAAGCAGAGGGCAGGAAAGTGACAGATGGCACCTGCAGCGGGGTCGGGCTCCAGTGTCGGTGTCAACCTATCAGTCATTAATGTTCTGAGGTTTTCTAGTACACAAGTACCTATATATCTCTCTATATATAGATATATGTATTTTTAATATGCATATATATGTATGCACACATATATCTATATATAAATATATATAGGCCACACAATTCCAGACCTCTGAAAACACAGGCAGCTTTAATTAATAAAGTCTTGCACTTTTAGCATATTTGTACATATAAGCTAAAGCCTGGTGGGTATAATCAGGCTGGTTTGACAAACACAATGAAAAGTTACTGTACATATTGTATATATTCCATGCAAAAAAAAAAAAAAAGAAAAAAGAAAATAAGAAAAAGTCTAGAATTGAGTATAAATCTTGGTTTATTTTATATGATGTTGAATATAAATAAATTTATAAATGTTACTATTCTTAAAAGTATTTTGTAATGGGAAAAAGAAAGTGTCTTATGAAGATGAACAGTAAAGATTTTATTCTTGTTTTGAATCTATGTCCCTGCATAGCTCCATTGAATGGGAGCCTGTGCATTTTGACAAGCTTTAAACAGATTGTACATAGTATTTAAAAAAAAAAAAAGATAAGAAGAAATAAAATAATACTTGTAAGGCCTCTTACACACTATGTGTTGTTGTTATTCCCTGGGTGGCGTGGGTCCATTGGGGATCAGAATCTGATCCCTGTTCTCCAGGAAGAACAAGAGCAGCAGCGTCACAGATTCATGTGCACAAACTGCTGAAGGGATGGGGCTCAAGAGGGAGACTGGGATTTCATGACCAGTGCCAGAAGCAATAGGGGGAATGCATCAGTTAGAAAGAACAAGGCATCAGAGTCAGTTTGGACACATCTGCACACTGTAAATGTTTAATCTGGATGCTAAAAGTGAGTGACAGTACTGGTCTCGCTCACTCACCATCTCAGCACTGAACTCAGCTCAGGCTGTAACAAAGCTTAACTAGTCCCAGACCTCAGAATCTGGGTCTCCATTTTTCCTCCATTGCTGGGAGGCTGGCATCCCAGCTTGGGTTTTGCCTTAGTCCTTGTTTTGGAAAGCAGTAAGTGTGGCTTTAACATGGAAAACGCTCTTGAAGGAACTTCTGCAACAGACCATCACGAGAAATAATACTGCCTCAAACAGAGATTTATTTCTTTTTAAAGTGAAACAATGCTTTATTTAACACCTCATTTGTCTTACAGTACTTCATACAATACATTGTATAAAAGCCAATCTGTCAACACAAACGTGTTGCCTTCTTGGTAAAGTGACAAGGCTATAGCAAAAAAGACAAAATAGTCTATTTTTTTGGAAACAAATTGGAATATTTTCTTCTGCTTTAGTCCAGATAGCAACTGAAATCGCAATTAAGAACCTTGTATGGTACAACTGAATGAGAAACTTCTAGTAAAATCAACACACAGCTATTTCTTAGTCACTATGGTAGCAAACTCTTCTAAAATTACATTATTATCCAGCCATTAGAGTGATGAACAAGTGGCTTCGTTTAGGAATGGATGGAAACTGAGTGGGTTTTTTTTTATCACATGACAGTGGCCATTTCCATGTCCTGGGAAATGCTACCAGCTGAATTACCATCAGTTCTCCCCCAGGGTGAAAAGAGCTGGTATTTTTATTATTTGAGCCAATCCCAGCTGCCAGAAAGGACCGCGCAGCCTCTGCTGACAGCCACTGCCAGTGTGTCGGGGTAACCAGGACACAGCTGCCAAGTCACCCTGGTGATGCAATTCTCAAACTGTACAAACAGCACCACTAATTTTTAGCAATCTATACCCTACCTACAACTGTCCATTTTGTACTGAATGATGCACCTTCATTTATTTCCTATGACTGAACCAGAAAAACAGAAAGACAGAAAACTTCATAGAAACTTACAGAAAAAAAAAGGAACAGAGATGAGTGAAGTGACGCATCAGAACTCACTTAACCACGCTGCTTCCTGTTCATGAATGAACTGTTCAAAGTTCAAACACACACATAAAAATTTCCAAGTTACAATTTGAATGGAAAGTCCCCCCTTGGGAAGTAGCTGAGTAATACCGTGTCAGATGCTCTGCAACCACCAGACTCCTCCTGCATAATTCCCTGCTACATGTGGCAGCTGCCCTCCTGCAACACCAATGTGCACACCCCAGAGTCCTCATGAGATGGAATGAGAGTCTGGGTTCATCTTTGCATCACCAGCTTCATCTGACCAAAAAGCTGTATGGCACAGGGATCTCTGTACCTGCCTAGACAGGGCTCTGAAGTGAAGGCATCACCCTTTGGGAGTGGAGAGGGAAAAAGCTGCTATTGCTCTAGCTCCACCAAACCCAACTAAACCTGCATTTAATTGTTAGCCAGTCCATCTGGAATAGGGACGGAAGGAGCTAGAATAGGAAAGGGAAGGAAATCAGCTAGACACTAACTCCAGAATTACTGTCACAAGCAGAACTCAAGTGTCCCTCAGTGTTATGGTGCACTGTGGAATCAGCCCAGCAAACACACCTCAGGGTCACAATCCTTTGAAATAACTGGCACTTGCTACATCTAGATCTCCCCAAAGGATCAGCCCACAATCCAGAGACTCCAAAAGGAAGAATCTGCCAGTGAGGCAGTTGCCTGAGTGCTGTCAGCCTGCTGAAAGTGACCTTGCTCCACATGCTCCATCCTGCTGAGACTGGCCACTGTGACTAGCCTTCCTGGATCAGCCTACAGGTTGTCCTGTATTACAGAAACAATTTAAAGACATCACTCTTTGGGGGAAAAATAATAAAAAAATTGAACAGAAAATCCATGCAGTTAATAAAAGTTAGTGTTCCCCTACATATCCTAACTTCTTACCTTAAATCTGTTTATATATATATGCTGGTAATCTCTCTTTATACATAGATATAATAGCTGAGAAGAGCTACTGCCTAACTGGCAATGGCTCCACAGTCTCTTGGATTGGCACTAATAGAAAAGGGAATTGTAAAAAGGTGCTCAGTTTGCATAACCAGGTAACAACAGAAGGCTGCTGTACTTTGCAAGTTCCTTCTGTACTTGGATCGTAACATCTTGGCTCTCAAACTAAAAAAATGTCCTTGAGTTTTAAGACTTCCATATCTCTGCTTAGCAAATAGTTCACAGCTTTGACTACTTCTTGGCATAAACAATATCTGTCATAAACCTACAAAAGCTTTTGGGATGGGCAGCTGCATCTACTTTCATGGGGTTCCATTAATTTTGTCACAGCTATTTGCAGAATTACTCACTGATCAAACCTTATCTGAGTACATCTTGGACTAGAACTACAGTATCATCTGCTTTGCCTTTCTAAACAACTTTGGGAAAACAGTGAGTAAATACATTTTAAATTAAGTAACACAGTGTGGCCCTGCTTATCCATATCCACATAAATGGATAAATTAGTTCTTATATTTTACGCATAAAAATACAAATCAGCACTATATTGTATCAAGTGCAATTACTTTGTAAAGGCTTTTGAAAAAAGCTTCCTCATTTCTCACATATATGATATAACTTCTGAACTGACTGTTCATTCAATAAAACTTTATTTATTTTACATTAATACCTGAGAGTATGGGGGAGAGTATAGGACAATTCATAAATTCATTTTTCCTGATGAAAACTGTATTTAACATCGATTGTAATGATGGCATTTCACAAAGTGCCTGTAACACAAGCCAGAACTTCATTTTATTCTTCATTCATATTAGTATTGCAAGAAAAACCTCAGAGAATGATACCACCACCGTTCTGCTTCTTTACAAAAAACATGCACAGTATAAAAATAATGCTGCTCTGCAGAGAAAGATTGTCATACAGGCTTTGGAAATAGACATTTTAACTAGTTTAGCACAGAGTCTCAGTTTACTTTGCTGTTCTTTTTAAAAGACAAGCTCTTTCCCTCTTTCTCTAAACCCCTTCTAGCACCAGCTACCAAAGATTCAAGGTCAAATTTCTCAGCATTAACGCTGGCAGAGCTTGCCTCCACAGGATTTCTACTATATCATTTTTTATATATTAAAATTTCAAGTCAGATTCAAGGGGATTTTTTTGCTCCCTTGAATCCTGGCTGATGGAAAATATTACAGCAGCAATAACCCAGAGTGCTACAGAAAAGAAATAGTAATTATAAGTTGAGGTATGGACTCAGGGTAGGCAAAGGAGCAATTGCAATCTGTCCCTTCAGCATTCAGCTAAAGATGGTCTGTGCTTGGTCTTTGCAAACACCAGCAAAACTCTATATTTCATCAATATGCTCTTAAGAAGCTCCTCTTGCCAGATAAAGGACAACCACCACCATGTGGTCAGACAGATTTAGCCACTGCTTTCCCTTGATTTCAACCAGCAATATTAGCTTCTGCATCCATGTGCAGCCTGGATGACCAAATAAGCTTCCATCCTTTTCACCTGCATTGTAGGAGGATTGGTATGAAAATGGGAAAGAGAGCTCTAAGCTGAGCTAGAAAGGCAGGAAACCAGTTGTTTATTGCAAAAACAGACGTGGGCTGGGAGAATGCAGTCTGAAAACTGCTGACAAGGGGCTGGAATCTGCAAGAGTCCAGGCCCGTGGGTATCATCAAAGCAGAGGAATTGAGAGCAGGGCACTTCCTTCTCTAATCTCATGCTTTTGTGCCTACCACACCCTCCATTTTTAGCCTTCACCCTGCTTTGACTCCAGTCCCCATGCAAGTTTGGAAATAACTAATGAAACTAATGTGGATGACAACCTCTAAGCTCTTGATACTCCTTTTAAGTGAAAACGGCAGGAAGTCATTCCTCTTATCATAGTAACAGAAATTAACCTGGAAATAGAAATGAACACACTGTAACAGCAGTCATTCAGATAGGTTTGCAACAGGTCACACCCAGTATTTCCAAGCAACGTTGCATATTTTACTAACATGGTAAAGACAGTTTATTATCCAGTCCTTTTTTTTTTTTTTGGAGTGAAACTTATGAATAATGCAAGAAAGTGATTGTGCTTCAAACTATTTTTATTTACATTACATACCAGTAATCTGATATTTAAAGCTAACTCTGCAAATGTCTTTCTCTATGTAAACACCAGACTTGATTTCCTTAGTTGCAACCTTCATTTGTAAGCGCTTTGTGGTTAATTCAGAGTCAAAGGTAAATAAAATTACACTCTGGTTCTTGCTTTAAGTTGTAAATTTTTAGCACTCTCTATTTTAACTTTTATGTCATGAGGTTTTTCAAAAAATCTCACAAAGGCCGGCTCATTTAATAAGGATGCCAGAATCTGTTCAAAGGCAAAAGACCATTCATGGTTCCCTCTCAAACTCTGTGCTCTACTGCCTTCAGTCTGCTCAGAGCTGCTTTCCTCCTGCCCTTCCCTGGGGATTTCAGCAGGCACCTCTGTAATGTGAACTCCACTTGGGACTGGTGATGCAGGACTCTGCAGCCTTCTCCCAACTTCTTCCATTTTCAGCAGGAGGCTGGTAACCACTGCGATAGCCCGATATAACAGCTCCTCCTCGGGATCCCCATGGAACAGATTGTACAGAGTCTTTGAGAACTGGATGAACTGAGACTACAAAGAGATACCAGAGGAGACTATTCAGAGAACAACAACACAACTGTCCTTCCTGTCTGACTACAGACTGTGCAATCAGCCCAGTGCCTGCTGCTGCCAGGCACCTGGTATGGCTGCTGTAGTGACAGCACGGGCACGGACCAGCCCTGATAAACCTACCTGGGTCTCAAAGTCCCTCTCTTCATAAGCTACAGCAGTTTTACAAACACATAGTCTAATGATTAATGTCTGAAATTTAAGGGATCCTACAAATCCTTTAGAAATATTGTAACAGGACTTAAAGGATAAACTTTCAAGTCAAAACCAGATTTAAATAAGACTCAGACAGATAGTTTACCTGATTCATTCTTGGCAAATCCTTAATGTTTTCTTCTTTTTTAAGAAGTTCATCTTGCCATTGCTTCAGATATGCCTGAATATCAACCTTCCCCTTCGCTATTTGACAAAAGGGGAAAAAAAAAAAAGGGAAAAAAAAAAGTGAACAAAAAAGAACCAAGAGCTTCCCATGAGGCATGATGAGCAAAAGGAACTGGTACCCTCAGTGTCATTCCTTCTCAACAGAGTGGTAAGGCCAAGGACTAAACAGGATCAGAGTTTCTACTACCCTCTCACCCATAGGACATAAAAGTGTATAGAATGTTAGCAGTACACTAAGGACAATGTTACTTAATGTACTTTCTCACCACACGCTTTCCTGGCTCTACTCCCCCAAAAGACACAGTTACAAAATGTGTCACCAGAATTCTTTACCTTTTTCTGGGCTGCTCTTCAAAGAATCACTTCCAAGACTATCCCCAACAGATGAAACTACAATTGAGGAGAAGAAAAAGAAGAAAGAGGTATTTATTTGAGAAAAGAGGACCAATGGTTCATTTCCTTTATCAAAAATTCCTTCCTTAAGGAGCAAGACCCTCAACAGCCCCTGTGTTCTCAGCACAGATTAGGTCAAGAAGAAACTACATGGTAAGATTTGTATGCTTTCAATAAAAATAGAAGCCACTGTGAGGTAGGAGATCACAAAAGAAACTGCCATCAGTTATACTAAACAAATAATGTTCATGGTGCACAACTTGAACAGTGATAAGAACAGTACCTGTATATTACAGATAAGGTACTGTGGGTAGATTTCAAAAACCAGAAAGCATCTGTCTTCCAAAGAAGTAAAATCACAGAGCTTTCCAAACAGAGTATTTGAAACAGTATTTTATTATTTCCATAAACTTAGACCCCACGAAATTTTTTTCAGCTCACTTGCTTTAAAATGAAAGCAAAGGAGTTTGAAACACTTGCTTATGTGTCTCAAAATAATTATGGATTTAGATATTTTATTTCTTGAGGAGGAAAAATATTATCCCTTTAAGCCTGGGATGGAAAAGTGAAGGCTGCTTACTATGCTGAAAAATACTGACCAAATACACTTCCCTATTTCCATATGAACACTCAGTCTTTAAATTCAACCATCAGACAAGCTACCCACAAATTCTTTAATTAACTGTAACTACTACAGAAGAACTTTGCAGAGGATTCTGTTAACAGTGATATGATTTACTGGATTTAGCAGTTTTCAGAAGGGAGCTCCTCATTTTTCATGAGATAATTAACAGATTCCTTCTAATATTCTGCAGGCAAAGCCTCACACTCTGGAGCTTACCACTGAGTTGGCTGAAGTGAATCAGTTCATCTTTTGAAAGATCATCCCCTTTGGAAGGGCTTAGAGATTCTATTTCAGTAAAAGCTGCAATAAATAATTGAATAAAGTAGGTTTGGGGCTCTCAAGCATTATCAAAGCAGTGATAAAGACAACAAAGGCCAGAAATAGCTCTCCCCAAATGCCACTGCCCCTCACTTACCTGGAGGGATGTGCAACTTAAAAAGAAGCTTGAGTTTGTCAGTGAAGCTTCCATTATACATGGTATCTGTTAGAGGAAAGAGAACAATGTTCAACTGGACCAAACTTTAAAACACCCTCTTAACCTAAACAAATGCAACCCAGGGAGGTTGGAACTGGACGTGTGCCCTGCCTTACAGGGAGTATAATTAGAGATGAAACCTAAGGAAAGCTGTATCACCTGTGCTGAGCCTGAGGTTTGCCTACACTGATGTCTATGACTTACTAAAATAAAATGTCTACATAATGTCTATGACTTACTAAAATAAAACCACAGCACCAAAGAAACATAGCACTAATGTCTTCTCAGCATTTCCCTCATATTGCTGTTTCCTGAACAATACCACTTTGAAAAGAATGAACAGAACAGAACAATGAGTCAAGAAAACTTTCAGTTCCCCAGAGATATGAGGCATTGGTCATCTTGCACGATCTGTGTGAGAGATGACTTAGTATGGGGAAACATTTATCATCAAGCAAACAAGCTGAGCGATGAGATCACACCATTCCCTAATTTTCAGATTCTGGATGGCAAAGCTGTATTTAAATTTAATCTCGATTGGGATTATTCTGTCACATGATAAAAACAGTGTGTGGAAGATGACACAGCCCAGCTCCCAAGACGGAGCTCCCCTGCGAGTGTGCCAATACACGTGTTGTTCCCGTACCAAGGACACAGGCAAACTGTTTGAAGTTTATAAGGCAATCGGAGCTCTCATCCATTAGTCTGAACGTCCACAGTGCAAGTGAGTCTCTGTTTGCACAGTGTGACCAGGGGCTCAGGAGATGACAGAGAACCCTGAACTGCTGGCAATCAATCCGATACTGCTCAAGGTACGGCAGACTGGCATCATGATGCTGCAAGACAGGACTGTTTACGCTCCAGTAACAGGAAAGAAAGTGCTCCTTCTGCAAAGGAAAGACAAAATATTAGTTTTCTGAAACAACAAGTCTCTCTGGATGAAAGATGTGAGAATTTATGTAATTAGATTTAAAGCTGGCAGGTAAAACATATGTTGAATCTTTTACCTCAATTTACTAAAATCATTTCACAGCCTACCATTAAGATGGCTATTTGGTAAGTGAGGAAGAAGGCACATTACCTTGAACAATTCATAAAGCTCTTCAAGTTCACTAGGACTGAATCTTACTTCTTGAGACACAACACGTAGCTGAAACAAAAAAGAGAAAAAATTAAAGACTCTTCCCTCTTTGGAATAAGACCATAGAATAAAATTATGGGAGACTTAACATTATATTAAAAGACACTGTGCACATTCCAGGTTTGGGCATGTCACAATTAGAAGTAAGAACTGCACTTCTTTTTAAAAGCAATCAGAAGATTATAGACCAAAAGAAATAATTTCTCAAAAAAAAAAAAAGCTTGAAGCTAGAAAACTAGTCACATTACTTGCATACATGGAGCCTACACTATGAAACCCAGGAGATAAAACCTCAATTATTTATAATGATATATAGCTTCCTTTAAATGGGCAAATGCATGCTCAGCTCTCAACAGTGAAGCTGAATCCTCCTTTTTAAAGCCAAGTAAAAAAAAAAATTGTTCACAGTTTTTAAAACAAGGCTGCTACAAGAGCAGCTTCCATCTGCACAATATGTATGTTTTGTAAAATGAAATACAACAGTTACCATCTTATCATAACCACCAGCATTTAGTATCAGTTGCTACAAGCCACATTTACTACAGAAAGAAGCACTGGTGGTTGAACAGACTCGTATGATCATCAGTTCTTGGAAACAAGCCACTGAAGAGAACAGGCAAACAAAGGAAGCACCTCACAACCTCCACCTTCATTCAGCAGCCTGAACTAAAAAGATGATATAGGCAGATGAAAAGCTGCCACAATGCCAGACATCCACACACATCACAGACAAGAAGCTGAATGTAGTACAATGACCTCTTCGGTGCTGCTTTCTCAGAGTAAAAATGCAGGTGAATAATTGTTTTACTGTACAGTGCTCTATGCCTCTGAGAGAAATGCATTTACAATTTAACAACAGCAGATACAAATATCGGTCAGACTGTTCCAACCCACACAAAGTGAGAGATACTCCAGCCTTTAGAAGTGGTCAGGGATGGTGTCACTTGCAATGAGACCAGAAGGTCACACTGTGGCTCAGAGACTGAAAACATCACAGGCCAAACCTCAGTTAACAGACACCCTGCAGACAGGAGGGGCTTCAGCGTACAAACTTAAATATTTGGCCCTGGAAAATGCAGCTCTTTTCAGAACTTTCCAAAAGGGAAGGGTTAAGCTCTTGCAAGTCACTCACCACATTCTGCTTGGTCGTAGCTTCCAAGGTCTGGATCACATAAAGCCTGTTCCTGCAGCGCATGCTCTCAACATCCTCATAGCGAATATCACCGTATCTCTAGGAAGAAAAGCACCATTCCATGCAATCAGCTGTTGCTAGACACATCTAGGCAGATGTTTTTGCCTTTCTTGCATCTAAGTACAAAACAGGTATGGACACAAAGGAAGATCTCAGAAACTCCGAGAAACAAATAATTTATTAGAGCACTAAGCTTCTCCCTAACCAGTGTAAATTTTAAAAGTGTTTAAAAGGTGTTTCAAACAGTGATGGAGAAACAGAAGAAAAAAGAAACTGGAGTAGTTCAATGTGTGGGAAGACAAAGGAAGGGATTTTACTGTGTGTTGGCTCTATACCCAACTCTGCTATCACATGGTGACTAATACTTGCAGGGCAGCAAAGTCTAAGACGTGCATGTTGTCAGGGTTTGAAGTTCACTCTAGGGAAATTTAGAAATAAGCTAAGTAATTTCTGAACTATTCCTGGCTGCCTCTGGAATTTCTGAAGTCTGAGCACTAGAGTAGAATAAATACATTTACCTTTAAGAAAAAGTGGGATGGTAGGCAAAAACTAAAAACAAATTCTCAGAGAAATCACGCAACAGATTATTAAACAATTAAAATCTAAACAGAAACCAATAAATCAAACCAGGTCAACATTCTTTCTCAAGACTTTCACATAATCTCATTTATCTTGTGAACACCCATACAAAGCAACAGTATCACAAAGAATATCTCTGTTCACTTCTTCATAACTTGTAACTAGACCTATCTGCAGAATGACAACTCTCCATTGCAGCAATCTTCCCATTTTGAAATTTATTTTATTTACATAGTGATATGAAAATAACACCCTTCACCAGACCAGAACTGTGTTGAAATTAACTGTCTGGTCAAAATGGGAAGAAGGAAATTGTCTCTCACTTTGTATCAGCAGTTCTCAAACATGGGGTTGTGGCACTTACCAGCACTGAAGAAACCTAGTTTCAACTGAAGATAAAAATTTGCATCTGAAAAAGGGGTTATGAGAGAGAAATGGGGATATGGGCCTAAGAACAGGGCTGCCAACTTGGAACTGGGAGATTCAGGTTCAAAGTTTTGCCCAAAACTGTTCAAAAGCCATACCAAATTATTGCTTTGGTGCAGTTCCCTGCCTGCAAAGGCAGGGGAAGAAGAAAAGCAGTTTCTTTTGCTTTGTCTGTCAGTCATGATGCCAGGTCTGTGAAAGCTTCAGCTTCCACTTCTGAATGCACTACACAGCACTTCATTAGTTACCATCTCTGGTCTCCAGAGTATTCATCCTCACTTTGAGAACTCACCATGACAAGAAAGACACAGAATAGTTTTCAACTTTTCTTTCAAGAATCTTAAAGCGTTTCCCATACATGATTTTCTTGTGAAACAATACTGATAGCAGAACAGACTTTTATATGATTAGCCCAATGCTAAAAAGACAGTTCAAGTGAAATTGAATTTCTGATCCTTGACATTGTTCACCCCATTAAAAGCAATGCCTTCTTCTCAGTAAAAAATCAAAAAAGACAATTTCTAAATTACACAAATTAGTTAGTTAATCTTTTGTGAGTCAAAGTCAGGACATTTTTTCAAAAGAAATGAACTGTGGATCTTTTACTAGAAACATATCAATGAGAATCAGAATAGAAAAATTATTATACAGATAAAGAAACCAGTTAATAGGAAAAAAAATGTGAACAAATCTTTTATCTCGGCTTCCTTTCCCTTCTGAGCAGAAGCTCTGGGCTGAGCAGAAACCTATCTACAAACACATTAACACTCTGACAGAAATCACACCAAGGGAAAAAATGCCTCACGAAAATCTGGGGAAAAATAGGAGAAGCTAGATGTATTTCTTCCCCAATTAAGAGCTCCAAAGCTTAACATTGCAGACACCAAACTTGCAAATCGAAAGAAAGTGCTAAAAGAGCATAACTGCTCTTCTTCATCCAATACATTTCTAAATGGTCATCTAACCCATACAATAAACTACCCAAGTACACAGTTTCCTGTACACATTGTTATGTCAAATGTTACCACTGACTGCAATGTGCAGTCTCAAATTAGTAAATACAAAGGTATTTGTATATACCAATAATATACTAATGTATATACTAATAATGTCAATGAGGGATGGTAATACATGACCTCTGATGAATATAGGGAACTCCTAGATTCAGGAGGAGACTAAAAAGTACAGACTAGAAAGCACATTCCAAGCAGTTAAAACCCCAAAACAACACAAAACCAAACCTGTTCCATAACCTATAAGGTTTTCAGTGAGGTTGAACAAAATACAGAGCCCCATTTCTACCAATCTAGGCAGATTTTCTACCCTAGTTTGTACAATGCAGCTGCAGTATTTTTAAAGTTGCCTATGAAACAAACACTGCATGGGATGCAAAAACATACCCACAAGAACACATACTTCATTTGACTCTCGAATCAAATCAGTGATGTCCACTTTGGGGTGGTCACTCTTTGTATCGCTGAGGTTGGAGCCTTGCTGCACAGCTGGAGGCAAAGGACTGTCTTTGTTAGTGACACTGTCAAAAAATCTGCACAAAGCAAACACATGAGAAATCAGCAGGAACCAGTTTATCACCAGATAACAACAGCATTGGCATCTACTGAAGAAAAAGTGTACAGAGAATGGGAAATACAAAGAATATGAGAATCAGTAGCAAAAATGTGCTGTAATAGTAACAAAGGTACACGAATGTGGGAACTGCCCACCCAGAGAAGGTTCCAGCCTTGGGAGGTTTTAGTCAATACATTAGTGATGTATTGGCTGATGTGATCTAATGTGAGCAGCAACCGTTTCTGGAGTGGGAAGTTAAACCAGACTCTTGCCAAAGTCCCTTCCACTTGGCATTTCCCTAGTTCTCTAATCCATCTAGCAGCGTTATACTACATGACTGGGAGAGAGAAAAAAGCTTGTCCTGAACTGTGAACGAGGCAATCTTAATTCCCCCAGATGCATAAGCCAAAGACATGCCTGATCTGCACCTGTTTAGCAGACCTGCATCAGCAGCCTAAACAGATCCATCAGGGAGGCTAGAATTTGCAATAAACACCAGGCTGTATGGTCTTTTATAACGAAAATTACATCTTTCTCAATGATTCTGTAAATCCCAGACAAACATGTAACATTTAAAAGCCTCATATTTACAGCAGCTGCTACCAGCTCAAAAGAATAACAGTTACACTGATACCTGTTGAGAACGGTGACTGCTTCTGCATCATCCTTACAAGTGAGCAACTTCTCCATGTTGTATTCCAGCACTGCGAGGCCCAGCTGCAAGATTGCCTTTATTCCATCATAGAAGAAACAGTCCACCACATTGACTGCACTTTCAATAGGCAACACACTGATAAAAAGGGTAAGGAACCAGGAGAGAGAGACCGAGGAGAAAAAAGTCATGTCCGTCATGTGGTCTGTCAACTGAGGCAGGTGAACCCTGATGAGCTCCTCAAACACTGCCTGATCTACCAAGGCACCTGCAGGGAAAGGATAACAAAACCACCACCCAAATCTTAATACAGAGAAGCACACTTTTCTCAGAGCACCAGCCAGAAATAAAGGCCCTGTCCTAATGCAGCTCTGTTATAAAAGCACACACAGGCCCAGCAGCATGGAATCATTGGCTCCCTTCCCTCAGCTGGAAGCTGTGCACTCCATGCATGGTCCAGAGCCTTGCTGCATGCTTAAAGGGTGTTAGCACTTCAGTGAGTGCATGGCTGCTTCCAGTGACTCCCCTGACAGCCAGCACACCCTCTCTGCAATGAAAAACTTCATATCCACTGTGCTTCCAGCATATACACCTGTAAGAACTGCATAGGAGATCAAAGGCTAAGTCTGGACCTGGAGTAACCCTTTTTCCTTTATTTAACCTGGTTGAGTTTAAAATAAATAGTATGAATTGCAGTTATAATTCCAAAAGAACAGTATAATAATTGACTACTTCCTGAGTAGTTGTGCCTAGAGTAATGACAATATCTGAAAATCACATCCACTCTTATTTAAGGAGGAGCCATAGGATGTTCTCTGTAACCTCCATTTTCTATTCCACAATACTGAACCAAATTCAACAGTTTCTCTCCACTGGTCAGTCTTTATCTCATTCCTTACATTTGTCCTTAATGAATGACCATTTACATTCAATTCTAGATAGATAAAAAGACAGATGGATGTTACCAATGATTCGACGATTGAAGTAATCGGGGAGCATCCTTTCACACACAGCAACCAAAAGCCAGAAGGCTTCCTCCTCTTTAGCATACAGTAGAAGCACTGATGTCAGAATATTCATTGCCTGTAACATTCAAACAGGAAAGGAAACATTTACAAGGAAAGATGGCTAAACCACAACTGTTATCATTAGTCAGAATTTATATTTCTGAAAGCACTTTGCAGCACGTTTTTAGAGTGCTGGGATAACCTACAGCCATATCCAGTATAAGGCTTTTACTTCCATATTATTAAAAACAGAACATAGTACTTGAATGGGCTGCCCAGAGAGGTGGTGGATTCACCATCCCTGGAGATTTTTAAATGCAGATTGGACGTGGCACTGAGTGCCATGATCTAGTGAATGGACTGGATTTGGACCAAGGGTTGGACTCGATGATCTCGGAGGTCTTTTCCAACCCAATCGATTCTATGATTCTAACTATGTAAAAATATTTTTAAATGCTAAATGGCTAGTTAGAACACAAACACATACATGAAGTGCCCATGACAGCATTTATCAACAAATTCAAGTACAAGTAAAAACTCATGTTACACAGTAAGATGAAATAAGCAAAGTTTGTGAACCATTGAGCAAGAAACCATCACACATTTCTATGACTGATTTTATGCAGTTCTACTATACTGCCATCATGAGCTAATACTTAGACAACCAACACTAAGACTCTCAAAACTGCTGTACCTGACAATATCCAATTTGAGGATTCCTGTATGCATAAGCTGTAAGAACTCTCCTGAGTGCAGAAATGCCTGTGTCACTTTGAAAAGCAGGATGCTCGGGTAAGGAGCGACGCAAATCCCGTTCGATTTCATCAGTAGCCAAAGTGCACGTTCCTAAGGACTTTTCCACCAACTCAGTGTAATAACCAGGGTTGGATGCCATGTCATTTACAGCACCTGCCAAAACAGTGTTGCATGATATTAGAGGACAATAGTAAAGTAACTGTGTGATTGTCTGCAATTTATATAAAAACTTCTGGTGGCTATTGAGGTACCTCATGAATCTCCAGATATTACTGTAGTAATGTATTAGAGTAATCCTACTGAAATTAATGGAATTACTCTGAAATGAAAACAGAAAAGCTAAATAAAATAAGGCTTGGAGGAAATCTAAGTCACTTCCCATTATAAAGTTGATTTTTACTTACTTTTTTGTTTGTTTGGGGAGGGGGGCTTCCTTTCACCTACAATTTTGCCCAACTTTTCTGAGGAACACAATACCTTTTCATTTGTAGAGCTGAGAATAGATTGGGAAAACCAGGCAAAAGACTAATATTTATCTAATTATGTCAGCACCTCCTAAGACAGAGATATTGGGCTGGTAAGAGGAGTATAAATGCCTGTGTAATCCTCAAAGAACACTGGCAAAGACAGATCCATGTTCACACATGCTCAAAAGGAACAACCATACAGTAGGCTGAATGAGGAGGATAAAATGCATTTGTTACAATAAATAGATCCTCTAGAAGAGGAGAAAGCTCTCCCCAGGAACACAGTGAGCACAGCTAGCAGATAAGGTGGCTCCTCCAAATCTTCAGCTTGTTTTCTGAATCTGACACAGGCTTCCTGTGTGACCCTGATCAAGCCAGTGGCTGCTGCTTTTCTGAGTGTTTCAATGAACAGGAACAGAAGTGCTGCAGAGCAGGGTCTTAATTCCCTGGGCCTCTATTTCCTCAAGTTATGTGCTCTGACACAGGTGTGTTCTACAGAAGGAGGTGACAAAAGCACACTCAGAGCTTGGACAAGAGATCTCATATGTGTAAGACAATCCACAATTCCTGTATAGCTCACTCTTTAAACCAAGCAAAAGCATGTAAGCAAACAGCTGCTTGTAACTGGGGCCAAATTCTCTGCCAGGAAAACATTTTCTGTGTGTCTGGTAACACTATCATCTCCAAAAGCTTAAACCAAAACAACACAGTCCCACAAACATGCTTTTCTTTCTAGCAAGTGAAGAGGCTTTGCTGAAACTGACTGTCCCCTGGAACAGCACTTATTACTATTATTATGTTTCAATGGAGTTTGTTGTAAAATAAGCAAATTCTTGTTCATGATTTTGAAATGTCTTTCTTCAGAAAGATTTGGACAAAATGCCAGAGGTAAGAGCACTTTTTGTTAGACTAGAAGTCAATAACTAGACTATTGTCAGTAACTAGAACATCCATACAGTACAGTTCCAAAAAGAGTCAATTAGACTTGTTATGCAATACCTGAGAAGAGCAGCCAGAGCTCTCCTCTTAAGGCCTCTGGGATCCCTCTTACAACCAGATCTCGAGTCTTCTTTGTTCGAAACATACTGACACCATGTCCTCGCTCGGCAAAGAGGATGTTCCATGACTGTTCTTTCATTTTTTCTTTCAACTGTGAAAAGCAGAAGACAACAAGCATTACATATCCTGGTAGATTCTCCTCAGGTTTCAGAGAAAAAAAGTAAATTTTGCTCCCAGTTATATTTATATAAACTGGAAATTACGGTGTTAGCATCTGTATTGATGTGTGAAATGAATGCTGAAGCAAATCAGAGCAAAATCCAGCCTATGCATAGCACAAGTTTGGCATAAAATGCCATCTCCTACATGACCTACTATTCTTTAAAGTATATGATTACAAGAAAGTCTACACCAGATCGGACAAAAGGTAAATCTAATCCAGTGTCTCACCTGACACAAACCAACAAGTGCCACAGCACAGTAAGGTCAAACAAACATTTCTTTGAAGTAAAGCAACAGTTGATAAGGTGCTCCAGCTCATGTAAAGCTCCAGGGCTGAGAGAGGGTGAACATTTCTGTGCATGCAGCACTAAGATTTAACATTGTTAAAACAATTAAAGTTGCCAAAAAGGACAAGTAGATTTTGTCCACTTTTGCTCAAAATACCATAAAAAGCAGAATTTTAAAATCTGGATTCCCTTTTGTCCTGCCCAAAGGACAGGACATTTATTTTCTGATATTTTTACTATAAAAAAACTTCATATCTTAGTTTACCCAGTTCTGCTGAAAGACTTATTTTCAAATAAAATCTGCTTTCTTGCATACACTATGGAGAAGCAAAAATTTGATGTCCTGCAGCAAAAACAATTAAATAAACATTCTCCAGAGCATAACTTTGTTAGACAGGAGTGCAAAAGAATCAAGCAAGGAAGAAATTAAGTCAATTTCTTATAACATCCTCCTTGCTCCCAAAGAGTTTGTAGTGACTTTGTATCTTGACAATTCAGATAGAAATGAAACATGCTCACTATCATAAAACAAACAGCCAACTCTTCCCTGAGGGGTGGAAGAGCAGGAGAAATTAGCTCCATGAAGATAAGGCACATCATTATTACACAAGATGAGCAGAAAATTGAATGGAGCCATGAAGAAGCACCCTGTGGACTCCAAATACAGAAAACGAAGATGAAAGAAGACTGGCAAAGCCCCAGAGGAAATCAGCAACCTTGCTGGAATACATTTTGATAAATCTCAGTCCTTTGCAATTAGATTCCCCAAGCTGTTGGCCATTTTATCCCTTACCATTTTAGAGTCAAGATTCTCAGCATCCTGAGGATGGTAGACAGTCATTAAGGCTTCTGTACCGACTGTTTTGCTGTTATCTCTCTGACCCATCTTTGATGGTCCTGCATCAAAATCCTTTGTATGATCAGAGGCAGAACCAGCTGCAACCTTGAAAAAAATTTAACAGTGGTAGTTACATACTGCAAATATAATAAATAATGTTTCTTAGGGATGTGTTGTCATTGGTTTCTTATTTTTCATGCCTGAAACCACACATACAGACTTCTTTATATCTAGAAACAACCTTACAATCATTCTTCAACTTCCTCAGTCAAATAAGAGGCCAACAAAAACTGACAGAGCTACACTTAATTTTACATCACACAAGTGGAATTTTGTTTTTATGTAAATGGTCTGAAGGCAAGAGATGGGAACATGTTTTTTCAAAAGAGAAAATTAAAAAAATTTAGACAACTTGAAATCTAGAGGTACAGTGGACACTGTACTATCTTGTGTCTAGAGTCAGGTTTAAATATAAGAATATTGCATTACACAGCAAAGCACTGACAATGATACATAAACTCTTAGTAAGACCACACCACCCGATTCCTAGAAACAGGTTTTAAGAAATTAGAATTAGCAGAGCAGTTACCTCTGTAGTTATGATGTGCTGTGGACTTGAAGTTGCACTGCATTTCATTCTGAGCTTTGCCACAAGCTGTTCGAAATCTCTAAGCTCTGTGAAACGAAAAGCTGTTTTTCCTTTGGTACTAATGCTGACTCCTCTGCTGGCTGGATCTGCCTTATCCACCCCTGTGACCTACGGAACCAAGGACACATAAATTAGGCAAGATATTTTACCAGCTTACTTCTAAAAGAGCAAACTTATTAAAAATACACATGTAAATGAAACAGTAGGTATGAAGCACCACACAGATTAGTAACACAAGTTACAATTTGAAAGGTTAGTGGCCTGGAGCTATTTTAGCACAAGGTACTAAGAATTATGCAATAGATTTTTGACAGAGTACCAGAAATCTTCAAAAAGGTTTTCCCAGTTGCGAGTTCTCAGTTTGAAAATCTTGTCTCCTTATACCTGCTGAAGCTGTTGCCTTTTTTTTACCCTCCAAAAGCAGACAAAACATGACTTTTGCAAGTAATCAAATGAAACAAGTTTTACAAGACTGAATTTCCACTGGGAATACCCTGTCAAAGACAGCTGTCATAACACATGACAGCAGGAGCTGACTTTAATTGCCATGATGGAACAGTCACAGATTAGAGCAGTTAATACACTTTAATCATGCAAGTACAAGTATGACAATCATGAAGATCTAGGCTGACTGGCATCGCTGATGCATTCACATTGTTAAAGAATGGAAAACCACTGAAATGAGGTAACTCTGCAGTTCTGTAGAACAAACAGTGAGGGACTGAAAGTCCACAAGAATAAATTTAGAGTCAGCTCCTTTAAAGCAGCCTCATCTTGTTTTTCACAGCTTATGAAAGTCTTTATTGTTTGCAGGACTGTTTACAGATAATCAAAGAAATTGCTTTATCTAGGTGGGAAACATGAAGTGTTGCTGAAATTAGTACAGCTCACCCTCTATTTCAGGTGTCTTATGTCAGGCAGTGTGTACACAGAGCATGTAAAGCAATTACAGAGCAATTATAGAACCTGGTTAATTTGTAGGCTATTGTAATCTGGATGTTGGTGAAAAGCTTTTAACAGTGGAAGACTGAAATGGGCCAGTGCCCATTCCCCACATGAAGTCAAGACAGTGATGGAGAGTTGTTTGGGTTTTTTTCTCCCAAGTCATTCTGCAGTCTGCTATAGTACTCTACAGAAATACCAATGCTGTGTCCTTTACTATATGGTCCTTATTCAGTCTGGTGAGACTATCAGCTGTAATGGCATTGCTACTTGCTCACTTGACAACTGGATTTTCCTATTGACTTTTGAAGAGACAGCACTGCTCAACTGTTGCAAAAAGAATTGCACTATTGAGCCAAGAAACACAGCAGAGTGATTATTAATCTTCAAGATCCTCTATCCTCTACAATTCTTTACTTTTTATCTCAAGAATTAATATCTCTCATTAACTCAACTTCAAGAACTAAGCAATTTTTTTTTTTAAGTATTAAAAAGTTTGGATTCTGTACCCAGCAAAGCTGCTGGTGTAACTGGCAGACTTGCAGTTCACATTACCTCTCTTAGTGGAATGATTACACTGCACAGGCTGCCATCCTGGCTAGCAAAGCAGATGTAGTTTTCTGAAATGCACATTTTTCCATGAGTATTGTAATGAATGAAAGGAACCCATAAGAAGCACTCATGAACTTCCTTCAAGGTCTCTTCTTTAGGTAGCCTGAAGAATGCAGTAAACTGCTCACTGTGGGCACGGCTCTCTAGGCCTCTGGATTAAAACAAAACAAAACAAAAAGGCAGGAAAGAGACAAGAAAAATTGAATGAGTTTTAAATGCCTTTACAAATACGAAAGTCGAAAATATCTTGGGAAAGATAGTAAAACATCATTATTTCCCATAATCCATGGGGTCAGTCTGGAGGGTTCAATGTTTTGCTGAAAGAGGCAACAAAGGGTTGGACCACACCTACCTGTACAGCCACTTAACAAAATACTTAAATACATAACTGAACAGGAATAAATTCAATCATGTCCTTCCACAGTAAAGCACTGTGCTGAATCAGGGCCTATAGGTAGTGCAGAAAAAGATACTAACACACTAATCTGCTCTGTCTCTCCACACATCAGAGTAATCTCTTTAAAACAAGTTTTGGCTTGACAGAGGGTTAATTAGGTAGAAATGCAGCACATGTTGTAAACATCTGCCATATCCTAATTCTCTACAGATAACTGCAGCCAGAAACAATGTTTTGGTTGTAGAGCAACATCCCTCTCCAGCACTGCTACCAAACTTAGGGATCAATTACCCAGGAAATATAACCTAAACCAGGCTTTATTATCTGTGTACTATAAAACAAAATAGCTTTTTTTTCTTGAGTCATGGGTGCATGCAGCTTTAAATAGAAACATTTCTTAGAAAAATGCTTTATCATAATTTCTAATTTGCAGATAGGTAACATTTTCCAACAGTGTCCCCTTCCATTTTCCAATTTAGTCCCTTTATGTGACTTAAAATCACCTAACAATAGACTTCCTTTTCCTAGTTACTTTTTACAGTAAATAGCTGTGGTCCACAGATCAAAACCAGAACATCTGAGGGAGAATTTGAACAGCTCTTTGAGGAAAGGCAGTATGTTCTTCAACAGAAGCCAGAACTGAAAAGAAACCATAAAACTACTACAAGGAATAATTACACACCTTTCTTGAGAAGGAAGGACCCTGACCACCAGGTTACTTACATTCATGGGTTTCCTACAGCCCAAAATGCTGTTGCAAATAAGGAAAGCCATGAATCCATCTGCAACTCATCAGTTTTATCACCCACCTCCAGGGGCAGAAAAGCCATGCAGTTATCATTTACAGGTTTATTAAATGATTTCTTCTCCACCTTATCCTTCCTCATCAGGTCTCTCTGGAGACAGCACAGCTCCATTTTGAACTTTCTAATCCTAAATGCTGCAAGAACTCCTTTTCAAAATTCAAACTACTATAAACATTATAGTTGGAAGAACAGCTCTGAAGGTTTGATCACCTCCTGTCTCCATATAGACTTTGGATCCTGCAAAGTAACAATAAATTACAATGCCTAACATGGCTTTGGTCCTACATTTTAATGAGACATTTGGTTAAGAGAACATCACCTTTGCTGACATTTACAGATCTCCTGGAGACAAGGATTCTCTTCCCCTTTGCCTAAACAAGTGCTGGGCCCTGAGCAGATAAACTCTGTGTAATACATTACCTCTTGGTGATCTGCAGAGGGTCATGAAGGACTAGATCATTCTCAAATGTTTCCTTGTCAAAAAGTCTCCTAACAGCATAGTTTGCCAGCTGCTCCATAAGAAGGAATGTTTCGCTAATGTGCAAAAACATGGAAAAATAATGATCTTCCCCACGGGAGCATACATGAATGCTCTCTGTCAGAATCACATTGGAAGTCTTCTCAAGTCTTGATATTTCATCCCAGGAGATAATAAGTTTTACTGAAAATACAAATATAAGGAGATGTGAGTCACTTCTCTGTAGCTACTACCCTCGTATTAAAAAAAGCAAAGCCGTAGTCAGCAGCACTGATAAATTATAATTAAGCAACACAGCTAAATGATAGCACACTTGGAAAGGGCTACAAACTAACAAGCACAAAACCCATTCTCCTCACATTTCCTAAAACATAATTCGATAAGAAAGAGTTTTATAGAAAGAAAAACCTTAAAAGACACACCATGTATGACAACACAAGCTTACACCACCTTTTCTTTGCTCCTATGTGAAACTGCAAATGGCAAACACACACCATCATATGAGCCAACCCCCTTCAACAGCTCACCAACAGGGCTGCTTAAATTAAATCAACCATGTATTGGCATGCAGAGGAACTGTGATCATTAGCTATGGCATTTCCCAGTACAGAAAAAAATTAGCATTGAAAGCATCCTCTTTTTTTTATGCTTGCAATTTTTCACATAAATACAGTTACAGTTCACACTATTTGAGGCATTTGTTTGGGCATTTCAAGCTAATGTTTGAAAACAGGAAAAAAAAAGGTATGTGCAATTATCACCAATGTGTAGAGCACCCATGAGACATATTAAGCCTGTGTGTGAAGACATAACTGTAATCCTCACAGACTGAGTTAATAATGCACATGAACTAAAGATGATGGACAGCTTTTAGCTACAGTCAACTGCAACTGTCTGTCTTCTTTCTGAAGTTTGTATGGAGGAAGCAAACTAATGGATATTGTGTAGTAAGTTACACAAATGTATTAATTTCCATAAATTATGTTATGCTGTCAGTTTTTTCTCTCCTGTGTTGACGTCTGCTCACATGGCAAAATAGCTCTCTTGGGAAAAATTCTTCTTAATCTGAAAGACAGCAGTAAAGCATGAAGGGACTAGGCTTAGCATCCAGACTAATTTACCTTCTGCTCCAAGCAAAAATGAGTAAAAGCTAAGGAAGTTGGTACTAAGATAAAGCCATCCTTGACAGGGCACTCTGCCCTTCCAGTAACTGCACGAGTAATAGGTAATCAACTTCTCCTGCTCTGGCAATCCAAAACACTTCTCAAACTTCATAAGACCTTCACGAAACTTCTCAGGATCATCTTCTTTTACAAAAGAACTTTTTCCCTCTTCAGCAATCAAACCCTAAAACAAAAAAATCCTGTTAGTTTATATATGCATCCATGTGAGTGAGTGTCATATATGCACCTGCCTACACACAGCACAGCGTTCTCTGAAGAGGAGAGTAAGTTTCAGAACAGGAAGAATAGTCTGAGGATCAAAACACAGGTCACAAATCAAATGTGCTATTTCAAACTCATCCACCAAGCTTCCCACACAACAAAGGCAAGACACACATTCCCGGGTCTCCTCTTCTGAAAGAAACATATTTTCCTCACTTAATCCCAAGAGTTTCTGGGTTAAATATTTAGCATATATAGAGTAAACTGTTGCACTTTCACAAAAAGAGACCATACACTTCCCAGGCACTGTTAAAATTATGATGAAATAATTTATCGACAGTTTTAGACCACTATCTAAAGGCATTGATCATTTACCAAGAGAAGTTTATGTCAAACAACCTTGAAGGGCAGAGAAACACGAACAATGGAGTGTGTTAAAGTTAACAGTCACATATTATTCAACCAGAATTAGGCAGCATTACAATACTGTACTTTGATATTCTACAGATGACATATCATGCACGTATCGTTAGAGGAAAAAAATACTTAGCTTAGTCATGTGCCTGTTACTTACTCTTATCTTTCCCTGGACAAAGCTCGTAATATCTTCATTTGAATCAAATACAGATAAAGTCTTCATAACATTGTGTTCTAACCACTCCCAGTGTTCTGTTATTTCTTCTCTGCTGGATCCTGATTAAAAGAGAAAGTTAGTATTGCTTAAAATCAGAAGAGACTTTCACTAAAAGTATTAATCAAGAGAATACTTAGCAAATTCCTGATTTGCAGAATACTTTAGTTACACAAGTCCAAATCATAAGTCTCAAATTTCTTGTTACCTCTTGTGTACACTGCAAAGGTACCCAGTGTACATTAAACATGTGCAATGCTGTGTTTTTATCTTTCAAGCCCTTTATGCAGCTCTATTTCTGGCCTTTAGATCCAGAAGCATCACAGCTTTGTCAGCATTGTGTGGGCTCGGTGCTAAAGCCTGACTTGGACTGACAGTTCCTTCCTCCCCAGCACAGACTCAGCATCACCACAACACTCCCAGTCTAATAGTCTAGAATGTGGGAAATGTGAGACCAAACACATGAGGCTCGGAAGAAAATGAAATCTAGGCCTTTGATACCCTCAGCTCTTTGATCACTGGCCCGTAACAGCTTCCAGAGCAGAACTCCAAGACTGGGACCTGCTGTGCAAAACCCCTTCTAACACATGAGGACATAAAGCAAACATCACCAGGAGGCAGCAAAGATTGAGATGACATGAGTGAAACAGTAGAGTTCCAGCAAATTCACTACTGAGTTAGTGCTTCAAAGACAGGTGACTCCTCAACACATGCTGGGGGACAGGGAGAGGGAAAGAGAGAGATAGAATTCATATAAAGGCATTGAATAAAGGCATTCTAGAATATAAATTAATTGGCAGCTCCATCCTCCAGAAGAATGCTCACAAATCAAATCAGTCAGTGTAATTACATACTTCCAATACCCCCAAGCAAGAACACACCTTTAACAATTGCTTTTTTCTCAACTTACTTTGTAAGGGCTAATTAAAAACTCCACAGAATTAATTAAAGTGGCCTTGGGAATGAACAGAAATTGCTCTAAATACAGTTAAATAGTCAGACTGTATTACACTGGGTAGATTTGCAACACTTAAAAAATTATATCAAGAGTAATTAACACAGCAATTAAAGAGCAAAAGTAATTCTTTTTCTCAGACTACACATGTAGACCAATTATTTGTGTAAATCAGAAGCACAGAGGGGAAATAGTAAAGATGAAACTGTTTAAAAATTGTTTAAATGGTTTAGGAGCACTGTTTCAGACCCTTCATATATAAAGCAAGAACAAAGTGTCATCCCATCAATTTCTTCATGGAACAAACAATCTGTTTTCTGATAAAAAGTACAATTACACATGTAGCCTTTTGGTGTAAAGTATGTTTGTGCAGCACAGAATTTATACAAATTTAGTCCTAAAATGAAGACTATCCTTTGTATTTTCCCAAGGGCTGACCTGATGGCAGTAGGATTCCCCAGGGTATACTTCCAACAGATGTATCAAAGTACCTTTTCAATAGCCTGTCACCACCAGTTCTGATGATGTCAGAAGTGGTCCTGAAATGTATTTACTGCCAATTCACAAACTGTTCAAATTCCATCCACTTTATAAGGCTGCCCTTTTCAAGTGACATGCAACGAATTACATTAAATTAAAGCTACAAGAACAAATCTGTATTTTCAAAACAGCTAACTGCATAGAGAAGACAGCAAGAGGCACAAGTTTTCATTTAAGGTGACACACTGCGGATTCCTAATAAAGAGAGAACTGCAAAATCCAATGTAAAAACGGTGTAACAGTTCCTAGGGCAATTACTCATGCACGTGTGTTTGCAAAATGGCAGATTTCCTGCAAAGCTCATCTTTTGCCACAGGCACCTAAAAGGAAGGCTGAGAGCCCAGTGAAGTCTAGATGGAGTCTTGCTTCCTTAAAGAACACTATTAATTAAAATACATCAAAGCAAGGAAAATTAACTAAAATACATGGTTCTCTTTCCCTGTACTACAGATGCATTCAGAGTTTTCAAAAAAACTAAGAAATAGATTAATTCCACAACAATGACTCTTTAGCATTAAACCAGATGCAATATTAATTGATTTCAACATGAAGTTAAGACCGTGCCTCAGAAGAAAAAACAATGATGCATGCAAAGAATAACAGGCTCCTCTTAGCTTTGGGGATGGAGGCCTCTTTGGACACCCAGTAGTTAAGTAGCCTGTATAAAGCAATTAAGACTTCATTTTCAGGAGAAGTTACAAAACTTAAAGTGAAAATAAAAAACTAAAAAAAACCTAAAAACAAACAAACAAAAACCAAACCAAAACAAAACAAAAACAAACAATCAAACAAACAAACAAAAAAACAAAACAAAACAAAAACCAAACACATACTCCACCCTTAAGGTTAATTTACTTTTCCATTCCTACTGATTAATAATGCAACACAAGAAAGAGAGAGAACCTTTTAGACTATGAGAGCAACAGATATGAGGAATAATTCAGCTCTGACCATGACTGGGAACCTGGCTTGTTTTAACATGCAAAGACAAACCAGATAAAAGTATTAGGATAAGCAGCTACTGTTATTCCTACCTACAGCACACTTTGGGATAAGTTGACCCTTAGGAGTCCATCCTGAACTGTGTCAAGTTATACCTGCAGCTTACAGAAGAAAAGATCGTGCCTCTGTCACTCTGTGAGCTCCCAAAGGCCTTGGTACCTGATGGACCCCTGCAGAAGGCAGGAGATCAGAAGGTGTAATAGGAAGAGCCCAGAGACCTATTCTGAACAACTGGAACCACTGCTGTCAATCTCAGGTTCACAAATGATTTTAAACCAATTAGAGGGGATGAGAATGAATAACGATAAAAGAGGATTAATCCAAAAAATGGACCCCATATTTTTTCCCTGTATAAGCCCAGGACGTACCGCACGCGATGGACCAGTAGACCTGAGAGTCTGGAGTCTGGTGCAGGATGCGAAACGGGGCCACTTTTGATGTAGAGTCCAAAACTGCATCTAATGTTCCCACGAGAAGACCTGTGGGGTTCAAGGAAATGTACACAGCACAGTGAAACTGAAGTTTGGAAAGGTACACTCCCCTCTGTCCTTTCTTAAGGAACAGGAATGCTGCCCAAGTGAGGATTATTGAACTCTGAGAAAACACAAAGCACAATTGAGCACAAAATACTCCCAGAGGAACTTCTTTGGGAGGTGATCATGTTTAGATCCAGTAAAAGCCATTACAGACACACAATGAGGGTGAAGTTTTTTGATATGACCCCCATGGAAGCGACAGCCATGCAGTGTGGGAAACCAGGGGACAACTGGAAACGTAACAGGGCAGCAGCTCCCAGCCTTCAGTGAGCACAAGCAGTAATTGAACAATCTCTTAATTAGTCATTGACTAGTTGTTCTGTTTTCCAGTCACAGGAAAGAGCCCTTGGAAGACCATAATTGGCTATATCACCTCCCTGCCACTAAGTATTGAATTAGCTTCCATTAAACAGAATACAGAACAAAATATACTAATTTCATTAAGGAGATAATTTCATCTCTCCAGAACTGGGAGTAAAATGTTTCCTGGGAAAATTAGTGTGTATTTTATATTGGCCAGCAAATCATTCTCTCTCGCTGCACAGTAATAAAAATATTAGCCCAGATATCTTAACAGTTCCTTTAAAATATAAGGATCAGGGAATTCTAAAAGAAAAATCCATACTGAAGAAAAAACACAAGCTTTTAGTTCCTGATGCACAATAAAACCTTTTCTTGTTACAACACGAGCAAAAATACAAGCAACAGGATCTTATGCTTCTTTCCTGTATTTCCTATGTTTGCATCCTTCTGGCATGGCCACAGAATCAGAAAGTTCAACTGAAGCAAAGCTACTGAAGCAAGCACACAAGGCTCTTATTCTCCTACCAAAGAACAGCAAAACAAGAGATGACATTACCCAAAAAAGCAAAACACAACTACCCAGAGATGCTGTAAAGTCTGTTCCACAAACCTGCTGAGATCACGGATGCAAGGTATTCCCAAAAAGTGCTATTTGGGGAGAGACCTGGCATGCAAAGTTAATATATCCCTTACAGCACCTTTAAATCTTTAAATACTCTTCCCTGTTTAAAGAAAATGATCTTTTGATTCTAGCTTTTAATATACTATAGAAGCACTAGATTTAGACAATTTCAAATGCATCCCTGAAAAGTTATTTCAGAAATTTTAGGTTGGCTTCTTGTACTTTGTGTTCCACTTTCTTTCCATTAACCCCCTCTGGAATTCTGAAAAATAGCATCTGTAAAAGAATACAAGAAAGCAAAATATGGCAAAATTGAGACGTTTAGACACTCATCCTCAAAGCATGCATTTCCTAAGGATACACCTTCAGCATAGAGCCTGTGGGACTATCTTACTGTGACTATTCAAGTTCCAGAATGCTTTTGCTTCTCTTCAAAATCATGGAAGTAAATAAATATAAAAAACACACACACAAACCCAAACAAAGAAACAAAAACAACAACAAACCAAAACAGACCAGTACTTTACATCAAACAAAAACACTCTCTGGTCTTTCTGCAATTCATAGATTGAAAGTTGCTGTTGGAAAGTAAAATTATTTTGTAGTTCCTGACGGAAGAAAGACATTGAATAAGTAACAACACTTATGTCTGTTTAAAGAGCTTTGGCTTACTGAATGAGTCATGACACTGAGCTGATCTCAAAGTTGGCTTTGCTTCAGCATGATTTCATTCACAATTCTCCTAATAACATTTTCTGTTATAATATACAGTGCAAGGACATTATTGAGCATTTATGAGGCTAATGCAATTTGGCTTGAGCCAAGGGTTACCACAGCACACTAGAAAGCAGCACTCCTCAAAATGCCATCACAGCTTTCACCTGCTTGGAAGGACATTAGATTTTAGACACACTAAACTGTACCAGGTCACTTCAGCAGTCCCACCAGTCAGTGCTGCTGTGTCCAGGAATGGCATCTTGGACTACAGGTTTGTGCTTAAGCCGATCAACACACCCTTAGTACAGTACAATTCCATTAGTACAAACTAATTCCATGACTATGGCCACTGGTACAGTTGTGAGGAATAAGCTGAGGATCACTCACCTTCCTATCCTAGTCCTGAAAGTGCACCATGAGCTGCCAATGTTTGGAATACTTTATTATCAGTCAGGGTTTCTGTAACCTCAAGTTCTTGGGTGATTCTCAGAAAGCACTCCATTAGATTGTTATTTCCCAAAGGGAACCAATTTTAGGGACAACCTACAGAGGGTCACCTACTTTCATCTCTGTTCAGTGTGAGACCCCACAGTCTCTCCTGGGGATTCCACCTAAATCATCCTCCTGCCTTGCTCAGGGAATGAATTCAGCTGTACCTACAGAAGGTGGTGCGTATTTATGGAGAAAGTGCTCTGCTTTTAGAAAACATTTTCAGTTTCATAGCTGCCTGAGTAAAACTACCAGGAAATATCTTAAATACTTCAGTAAATGGGGTAAAATACCTTAGAAAAAAAAAAAAAGAGGGAATTCAGAATAGGTTTGAAATATGGATGTGTTCTTCACAAGAGTTTATAAAAGCCTTGGTCAGCAAAATACCAACATTAGCTCAGGGACATGCCCCAAAAACATATCAGCAATGAATTTTGCTCTCAATGGTACCAAGTTAGGGCAATAAAGTCAGTATGTTACACGTCAATAACTGCCCAGCATTTTGCCATTTGGAAGCAACACCACTTTGTTCTTCAATATTTATTTCACCAAGTACATCCAGAGAGTACTAATATTGGCAGAGTTTTGGGTCCTTTTCAACCCACAATCTCAAAGATTTTTTTGCTCCTGAAATAGCATCAGTTACAGTTTTTTTATTGCTAAGGGTCTGCTTTATTTACAGCAATTTGATTCCTTCCTATCCTTTGTGGGAGTAGTGTAATGCAAACACTAATATCAGTTTTCTTTTACTGATGAAGAATCAGAAGCAAACATGCTTCTTTTTTTTAAAAGAGCACTGTTCTTCTGAAGCAAAGTTAGCACAGGTCTGGTCTCTCCTCTAACGCTTAACAGTGCCTTTGATGTCAGTAATTAATTACAGTAAAAGTCAAGGGTTTTCCCTACCTTTCTAAGCACAGCACATACAACAAGCAGGGAAGACTAATTCCAATGATATATATCACTTTTAAGTTTTTCTACTCTCACAGTTGCATTTTACTTATCTTTCTCAAGCAGAAAGAGGCAAAACAAAACTGTGGAAGCAGAAAACAATTTGTTTGCTCACATTTCAGTGAAAGACTGCAATTTTATGACACCAAATGCTCATTCACGTCACTACTCCTGAAATACCCATCTCCTAATCAAGGTCCTGCCTAAACTAGAACCAAAGCAAGAGCTTTGTGACCAGCATGCTTAATCTCACTAGACTTTGGTTACAGCACATGCATCCATGACTATATTCTTATCCACACACTCTGGAAAACCTGAGCACCTCTCCCAGAGTGGCTCTGCAGAAGGCAGAACAACCAGAGGACATGGTCACACAGTTGCACTGCCAGACACACAGTCACACTTTGGGACAGTCCATCACATGATAATTATCCAGTGGAGAACCAGTCAGACAGGTTACAGCACCTGTATCCTTAGGGGAGGTCTAAAACGGAAAGAGATTGAAATGTAAAGTTAAGCAGGTGCACATCTGCAGGAAGAGAGCCAAGGTTGAGCACAACCAGTACAAGGTGTTACTGTCACTGTGCTGGGTGCGCACACAGGCCACAACAGCTCCCTGTATCACCTACAGATTACAAACTAGCCCTGCTGTAACTGTCAGTCCAAAGGGGTCAACCAAACAAATCCAGCTGCAGCCTTCATTCTACACCTAGGGCTGCACCAGAATTCCCTGCCTTCCTTCAGGTAACTGTCTCTGCTGTCATTTATCTTTTGCTCCTTGGTCTGTATCTTTCTCCAGGTACTGGCTGCTTCCTCAAAACTCAAATCTCCCTTCCTTAAAGCCCGTCTAACCAAGTGTACCCCTGCATTTTTGCGAATCTTTTGCTGCTGCCTCCTCAATCAGTCCCTGTTACTGCTATTCAAACCTTGCAGCACTGCCCATCCTTCTCCCCATTCCTGTCTTGAGGCATTGCCCCCTCTTCCCTCACGACCGACCGGGTCTTGTGCTGCTGCCTGCCTCCTTCACTCATAACCCCCCAGTCCCTCAGTGCTGCCAAGTCACCTCCAGCCTTGTCTCACCAGCTGCAAAATGCTCTTCAGGACAGCAAGATTTTACTGGTACATCTGTGATGACTTCCTTAGACAACAGCTGTGCTTTTCTTTTTCCTAAAGGAAGCTCTAATTTTCTTGAGTGACACACAGCAACACAAACTTAGGCATAGCAAATCATGCTGGCTTATATCTAGCCAAGTTCGAATATTTCAAAACCTGCAAACACAAATGTAACTGCATTTTTATCCAACTGTCCTGTTAATCTTAAGAACACCTCACTCTTTTTGTTTCTGTCCAGTGAAAAACTTAACTTGCTCAGATGAAATCTACCGAGAGTCCATAAGAAAAGCCAGAGAAATAAAACATGCAATGTCAACTAAAAAAAAAGCTTAGTACAGTAACTACCCCATCCAATTGTTTTCCCACACTGTGAAGAGCCATCAAGGATAGGAGAGCAGTGATAGAAGCCTCACCTTCATCAAAACCCGAAGGGCATCAGGAAGGCCAGCTGTCTGCCAGCTGTGAGCCTATGAAGAGGTTTTCAGATGAACAACTATTTCCAGTTTTCATTGTTTCATTTCAATCACAGTCCTTAAATGAATTTTATCACACAAAAAGACAACCTTCATACCAAATCCATTTCCTTGGCTTCCAAATATATCAAGGCAGAGAAGAGGCCATCAAGCCTGATCCTCACAAGACTTCCAAGCCTGCAGTATATCATCCTTGGTTCTAAGCCAAAGCCTGACATTAGCTATCTATCTATAATATGCCAAGAAGACAACCTGAGGGTTTGGGATGCTTTCTTTTCACACTTTCCATGCGCCCTGCCAGTGGTTCAGATGCCAGTGAAGAATGTCCCACCTCCAGCTGTGAGGGACATTTCTACATCTGAATGTCATCAGCCAGAAGTTTGGACTTTGTGGTTTCATCCAGCAGAATTGATAAATGTTTCCACAGGACAATATGGTTCATGTTTAACATAGCTTGCTTTAGGATGACACAATTAGAGAGAGCCCTGAGACATGCAAAACACTCGAGAACCACATCCCACCACGGAACAATTTTGGGCTGATTCCCTGCAGCTCTTTTCTCCTTGACGGGGTCAATGACAGACACCACCAGACTATGAAGGAGTCGGTTCTAGTCAGAATAGCCAACACCACCACCACCACCGAGGTCTCAGCGGTAGCTGGGGCCCCTGCACTGCCGAATGATACAAACAGACAAGAATTAGAAACTCGGCTCCATACCGCGAAGTTCTCATGGAATAGTTTATTATACAGTGGCCAATGCCCTGTCACTTTCCTGACCCACCCCTCCCGACAAGCTCCATCAGATCACATACGTGCTTTTAAAGTAAGAGACCAGAAATGCCTGAGCAGGAGCTCATCTCAAGCAGCCCCAGATGCACAGAGGAAAAGGGCTTTGGAAATGAGCGTTTTGCCAAAGCAAGCCCGATCCGTCCTTCTCCAGCCGCGTCCCCTTCCACCGAGCTGCCCGTGGAGCGGCGCCGGGCTGCGCTGGGGCAGAGGCTGCTCGGAGCCCCGGCCCTGCCCGGTGCCCGTCCCCGCCGGGCTCTGCTGCACCTGGGGCCGAAAGGAGGGACAGGAGAGCCCCGGGAGAAACCCACGAAGCTCCAGGGCTCTCGAACTCGGACGGGCGCCCTCCCTGCCCCGCTGGCCGGGGGTCCCGGGGTCGGCAGACCGCCTTCTCTGCCCAGGCCCTGCCCCTTGCCCGCAGTACCGCCAGCCGCCTCCGCGCCTCCTCGCCGTAGCCCGCGCCTCTGCACCACGAAGTACTGGTTGGAGCGCTCTGCACCCACAGCTTGAGGGCATTTTTCAGACAGCACACTCTCGGCTTCAGCACATCGCGCAGCCACCTCGCGGCGCTGTCGCCCCGCCCCGGCCCCGGGGCCCCGCTCCGCGCTCGCAAGCTGCGGTGCCGGGCAGGGGAGACCGGGAGGGCTTTAGGGGGCCGCCCACACGATGGGGAGCTGTGTCCTCGCCGCCAAGGCTTCGCAGCGCTGCTGTCTCAGGACTACAGCTCCCGCCGGCCCTGCGCGGCCGGGGACGCGTGGCGCCTGCCGTGCGGGCCCCGCTCGGCCAGCCCCCGCGGCCCGGGGGATTCGGGTGTCCCGGGCACTGCGCGCCCCGGTGCAGGAGAAGCTCTTGTGCCGCTCACCGCACACGGCCCCTCCCCTGCTCCTGCCCCAGGCGGGGCGGAGGTTGCTGTGGCCGCTCTGCCCGCGGCACAAGTCCCGTGTTCAGTTCTGGCCCAGCCCGCAGGACAGACAGACAGACGTCACCACGGACGGTGTTTGGCTCCCAGGTGTGTGTTCCTGGCAGCGCTCAGCCTTGCGCTGCCGCGGAGGCTGGGGCGAGGAGAGAAACGGGGAAAACTCCCAGGCCGGCAGGGATGCGTGAGCACCACCCAGCACGGCAGCCCAGACCCCCAGCTCCAGGAGCAGACATATGGTCGGCGTTGCCTGTTTACCTTCCACATTACATAACGACAGTCTGCCTCACTGCTTCCATCACACAGCACAATTCAATGCTAAAATTTGCCTTAACAGCAGCTTGACTTGTGGTCTCAGTGTTTTCATGATTTGCCTGCAAGACTTTCAGCATTTGTCCTCAATGACTGGCTCTTCAGGTTATCTGCAGACTGACTTTACCAGTTGTTCTGCACTAGAATAAATCAATTTATCATGTTAAGGAACAAGACAGTGGCTTTCAGACTCGTCAGGATTGAACTTGCATATCAGCTTTTACTACAGTCGTCTGTGTTGATGTCTTCTCCTGATTTCATTGAATCATCATAAAATGGTTTAGGGTAGAAGGGACCTTAAAGATCATCCAGTTCCAACCCCCCTGCCATGGGCAGGGACACCTCCCACTAGACCAAGTTGCTCAGAGCCCCATCCAGCCTGGCCCTGAACACTTCCAGGGATGGGGCAGCCACAGCTTCTCTGGGCAACCTGTGCCAGTGCCTCACCATCCTCACCAAGAAGAGTTTCTTCCTAATATCTAATGTATATCTGCTCTCTGTCAGTTTAAAGCCATTCCCCCTTGTCCTTTAAAAAGTGCCTCTTCACCTTTCTTGTAGGCTCCCTTCAAGTACTGGAAGGCCCCAGTTATGTCACCCTGAAGCCAGGCTGAACAATACCAGTTTTCTCAGCCCTTCCTTCTAGGAGACGTGCTCTGTCCCTCTAATCATCTTGCTGGCCTCCTCCTCCAGCAGGTCAATGTCCTTCCTGTGCTGGAGATCCCAGGGCTGCAGCACTCCACGTGGGGTCTCACCAGAGCAGAGGGGAAGAACCCCTGCCTTGACCTGCTGCCCACATTGCTTTGGATGCAGCCCAGGACAAATTTAGTTTTCTGGGTTCCAAGTGCACATTGCTGGATCATGTCCAGCCACTCATCCACCAGCAAAAAGAGCAGATTTAAAGAGTAGTTCCCTCACATCCTGGTTTCAAAAAATCAGGTGCTAGGACTATTCTGCCATACATACCTGGCAGCCAAGGACTTCCCAAGGCTGTGGGATGACCTCAGGACTTGCTTTGTATGGACACTGGTCAGCACAGCATAATCCCCAGCTTCCCAAAAAGTCAGGATCACAACCACCCAGCTGCTCAGTCTGCCTGTCACTGAGCCCCTGCTCTTGCTGGTTCTTCTCCAATCTCTTCACTATGTCCCAAGGAGCTCCAAATGTCTCCCTGTGGCCTTACACTTGAAAGGACTATACTTCCTAAATGGTATCTTTTGGAGCTGACAAAAAGCACAAACAAAAGCTTTGCAGGGGTGGAAGCCCCACTGTCTCCTCTGATCCAGGTTGCTGATGCTGGACACTTCCCAGAGTTATTGTCTTTTCCTACCTCCATGCAAGATTCACTCCTGGTCCTGACAGAACCTGTCATTTGCTACAACTGAATTGAGTAAATCTTCCTGTTTCCCAGGAACTTCCCTGCAGTTTCCTTCCCTTAGCACTCTCTTTCCAGCATAATTGACCTTCCTAAGATTTCAAGGATAATGCTTTATTGATTGTGTATCATACAAAAAAATCCAGCACACAATTGTTTAAACTCAGCCTCTAATTTGAGCTCTTCCTAAAAAAAATTGTGCACATCATGCACTAACTACACGTTGCAATCTTGGCACTTTTGCTTTATCCTGCCTTCCTTCATGCCTTTCAATAGTACTTCACTACCAAAACAGCTGGTGCCAGCACTGGTCTATTTGTGAGCACAGGCACAGCAAGGTTTTGCCAAGCACTCACAGAATCTGTTTGGCAATGCCTGTCCAGTTCCAGCTGTGTAACAACCACCTACTCAAAGGCACCAGTGTGAAAGCAGACCTGAGTGTGCAGCTACATTTAACTCATGGGGAGGCTTCAAAACTGGGTGAATTGTACTGGCACGAAACATTTTTTTTTCTTTTCTTCCAATCACTCATTGCACCACAGCAAGAGAAGTTGTAGTATTAAAAAGTTTCACCTTTGGGACTGAATGTAGGTTTAGCTAATACTGTTCTCTTACCTGTTTTTGTAACAGAATAGGAAACAACAAATTTCTGGTGCTCTACCTTTACTAGAAAGGAAAAATTAAATAGAAGTCATTAGCCAGCATGTGGTAACTTAACACAGATCAAACATTAATGAGACAAGGCAAACAACTCCCACATGCACTGGCACACAGCTCTTCGTGAGGCAGTTTCTTCCATCCCCCACCTGAGTAACAGACATTGCTGCAGATTTACCAGCTGAACCAACAGAACGGTTCCTGCCCAGATCCTGCTCTTCTAAGAGCATTCCCAGAGAGAGTGTTTACCATTTCATTGTCCACAATTAGACAAGCCCTTGGATATAAGAAATTAAGGACTTAACACAGATTTTCTGAGATGCCCTTGGCATTTCCTACCCTTTTAGCTTGCCTTTTGGTGACTCACACATGCTGGACATGTTAGGACATACATTGCTTGCTTATGTAAGACTCAAACTTTGTTAACTGGATAAATATTTAACAGTAAAATGCTACTGCTTGGAAAATGTCTGTTTCGTTTTCCTCTCCTTGTTTCAAGGTCTTGGATGTCTTCCTTTTTTCCATTCCCTCAGGCATTCGATTCTTAATCAAATAGTGTTAAGATGCAAAGAGTGCCCTTCTATCAGCTTGGAAGAATTTATTTATAGCCACTTGAAAACTTTCTTAATCAGTGCATAATCATGCTACAGTCTAATCATGCATTCTACAGCAACAAAGATCCATTTAGTGCTGCAGAATTTTTATTTCACTTATTAAAGACCTCCTAGAAATTGTAAATTACTTCCTTCAAATAACCATAGTCAATATCATATAAATAAATAGCTATATAAATAAGTGTTGGCTGCATTCTGCATATTTAACAGTTGAACAACCCGTGCATGAATGCTACAATTTAGTTTCAAGTTTCTCTTGAAACCAAAATTAAATTGCCAAAGCCAGTAGATTTTCTTTGGTCTCTTCCAACCTGCCAGCCATTATGCTGCTGCAGGAGTGCAGCCCCATTCAAATCTGCACAGGATAAACATCAGTTTAAACCTGGGTGAAAAGACAGGGCTACCTTCTGTGCTGGTGTGTGTTAAACATGCAAGGATATTATGTTAAATCACACAGCCGAGGTATCCTGTCCAACTGTTACTAAGTCACTTGAGAAGTGCAGATCTTTCCACCTAAAGGTTGAGATAGACTTAAGTCTCTCCATTTTATGGGAAGAGTCCAACTGCCCTTGTGACTCAAACTGCTTTTACTGTTTGCAGCCCCATCATAAGTCCTGCATTTTCCCTTAAGCAAAAATCTCAGCTGAAACTATATTTCTATAGGAACACCTGAAAGTTTTCCTCAATATTAGAAATTGGTATTATTTTGCTTTGGGATTTAAAATGAAGTCCTGCTGTTGTAAAGCCTGGTTTACAAGACAGCACAGTAATCCAACCCCAGGTGACAAAGCTTCCACTCTTGCAGGGATTAAAAAAAAAAATCTTTCCCAGTCCCCCTTTGAGAGCACACAAATGTTCAAGTGGAGTGTCTAGATCAGAGCTTTCCTGGGGGAGAGAGGTGACAGCAATGAGTAAACACTTCCAGATGATGCTGGAGCCTGTTCAGTTTGCTCTTTGGGGGCAGAAGAATCGACATGTCTGTGTGACTCAACGGGAATATTAACTGAGTCAACAGGCAGACATTTTAGCAACTGTTACAACTCATAGGCACATAATTTCCATTATCTTACACACAAAGTTAGTGTATCTGTAGCAAACCCCAAAACTACTGCACAATAACAACAGGTTTGTACTGCATTTTGGGAATCCTCAGGCATATTCCTGTTGGCCTCTTGCTTAGAGGAAAGAGTCTGCTGTGTGACAGTGCTCATATATATGTATACATGACCCAGAGCCATTCAAGCCCGTAGCATCACCAAAAACAAATGAAAAATCTGCTGCACAGTCCCCTAAGCGGGGTCAGAAAGACAGCTGCTATCCATGGAAACTTGGAAGTACAAAGTGGGAGTGGAGCTTTGAAATTTCTTTAAAGCAGTCTGACAGCCACAGACCCAAGGTCAGTATCACAGATGGTGTTCATGAAAGTTACACTTTCATTTTTAAACAAAGCCCCTTGCATAGCTACTAGTTACAAACAAATCTGCACAGACAAGGACATGGCAGACTCACAAGTTGAGCTGCAAAACTAGAAAACCATTGAGTTCTGCCTAGCTCAAATAGAGATACAAATGCTGCATTTGTTCCTTTAGCAGTAGGTCACATTTGATATAAGAGTCTCTGAAAATCAGCATAAGTGCCCCGAGTTCCAAGCAAGCCCATGTCTTGACGGAACACATACACATCATCTGATCCTACAGCAGTACAGGTTCATCAGTGTGAGCTGCTGCACCCCCTACTACTCCACTAGAGCATTCCTTGTGCATCCACATTACCCTTAGAAATACGAGTACTGGGAAAAAGGCAAGTTTGTTGCTCTTAAAAGACAGTAAATATAAAGCTTGAATTATATTAAAGGAAGCAACACACATGATTGGAACAAAACAAAAAAAGTGCCTTTCAATGCATTGAATTTATCTGAATTTCCCCCCCCTTTTTTTTTCTTGAACATCAAATCTTGCCCCCAGTTGAACACAAGACTGGCAGTGATTTCATGACAGTGTATCCTCATGAGATTCTACTACATTACAGCATACACACCACAATAAATTTATAGAAACTTTGTGAAATGGAAATGAAAATGAAATTAAGTGCTCAGGGGTTGCACATTTACTGCTTGGCTGTTGCTTTCTCTACTCTGCACTTCAGAGGGAAAGGCAAATTACAGCTTCAGAGTGGAGTCTGACTATAGTCAGCTTTGCAATTAGAGTTTTCTAGACTGCTTCGTGCTGAACATGCCTCCAAGAACAATTCAGAGGTACATCAAGCAGCTCACTGAACACACCTTAAACTGCTTGGCTTTCTTTTATATTGAGTACAGCTACTAGCTTTAAGCTCTCAACACAATTTCAATCCATGTAACGGTAGCATCCTGCACATAATTAGCACTCCTTAGTCCAAGTACTTTGAGCAAACACGGCTGATTTTTGAGTTTCAGGGTTGTGGGACAGGGCAAATTCAGCATCTGCTTCCATATGAGAGTTGGTAATATTTCAAGTCAGTCAGGATCATCAAAAATAGAGTTTTATTTACATTTTCATATTCAAATTCAATACAAATTATGAAATATTTACAACCATTTAATTTGTACTAGAACTAATAAAATGCATTGCTTTTCCCCTCCAGATTCTGAAGTTCTTTATTGCAGGCTTTAAGGCAAAGTCCTGCTAATATTAGAAACTAGTCAAAGAGACAGAGGTAAAAAAATAAAGTGCATTTGTAAGACATCCTTAGTTACCTTTGCTGGGCAAGGCCAAGTCACTTACTATTGAGGCACCCAGTGTTCCTCCTTGACCCCATCCCAACTCCACACAGGTGGCAGACAGCTTCTCCAACCCTCTGTCACACTCACAGGACGTCAGCTCTCCCTGCAGCTTGTGCACTTGAGCAAGACAACACACAGCAACAGAGCAGCATCTTTCAGAGGCTGCATCATTTTCTGAACAAAACACAGCAGATCCTTTGGGAAGAATCTATCTTTTCATCTTCAGTTTACTCTTTCTGAAGTCATCCCAGATTCCCACAAAGCCAGGACTCTGGCATGTTGCTGGTGCTAGAGATGGTTATAACTCCCCAAGTCACTTGAGGATCTTTCAGACTGTTTAACATTAACAAGGCTTGAAAAGTTCCTGCAGTTGTTCCCTTTACGGTACTGTGCAAGTCAGATTTGGCCTGTCAGCTTGCAGCTTTCTTTTCTTCCCCTTTAGGAATGTGTGGTTGGCAGGTTGGAGTTGAGAGGTAGAGAATCAGTTGGTTTCCTAGAGAACCAAAAGACACTGTGGACAAAATCCAGTTTTACAAGCATTAGTTCGCACTTTTCTCCTATCAAATTAGTGCACTGAAACATTAAATACAGCGTTGTTCAAAAAAACCTCGTGTGTTGTAAATAAGCATTACACCAGATCAAAAATTAATTTGTTTACAATGAAAATCCACTTGAATTAAAACAATAAACAACAAAAAAAAAACCCAACTCAAAACACTTCCCAGTAAAGACAGCTACAACATAAAGAATCTTCTCATTTAAACAACTCAAGCACTGAGAAGAAGCTTTGTTGAAGATGGAACTTTTGTTTTAGTGTTAGAATCTGCTGGTTTTCTTTATATTTAAGACAGCTTTATCTGCAGAGTGCTAAAACTCACGTGGGAAATGCAGTTTTAAGAAAGGCAAACCATACAATTGTGATTTGAGCAAGTCTATTTATCTAAACATTGCCAGCGCAGTATTTTCTGCAGCAGTCTTGCAATTTTTGGTATATATGGAATGGCAGTAGGCAGCTCCTTGCAGAAGGCTTGCACCATGGCTGGGCACGTCCTTAGAGCGTGACTTCACAAACGACCCTGCCCTCAGAAGCTGGCGTTTCATCTCCCTCAAAACCCGGGTTGTCACCCTGCGAAAGGGCAGTCACAGTGGAGGGCTGGGATTCTTCATTTACAGGAGGTGTGTTGTCATCTGTCCAGAACAAAACCAAGTCAAGGCAAGTTAAGAAGTGTCACAAGCCAGCTTTATTACCTTAAAGCTCACTTGATTTCCAGAAGCTCACTGCAGTGGTCCTTTCCCAGCACTTCTCCTGCAGAGTTGGAAATCCAAGGCCATGCTCCAACTACCACTCTTCTGCTGCCCCTCCTTAGTTTGTGAGCCCATTCTTGACACCAGTTGTCATTTCTAGAGATACCTGCTCAGCTCAGTAGTGCTGAGCAAGCAGAGGCTGTGTGCTCAAGCCACAGAAGGCCCTAGGAGGCTATGAAATCCAACTAAGAGATTGTCAGTTCTTGTATCTTTAGAGCTGCTGAAGGCATCAGGACCAACTCCTAGAGACCAGGTTCAGGATAAACTGGGGGGGCCACACTGGTTCATAGAGGATGGCCTTCTCCCTACAGATTGACCTCGTTCAGATGATGTTCCTGTGTGTCCTTCCCACTCCAAGCAAGGATACACGAGAGCCTGAGCCATGTAACTAACTAATCCAGCATCACTCTAGTTGCCTGTAGGGATGCAATTAGTTTGCTATTGTTCAAAAAGATGAAGTATTTGGAAAAGCTGACAGTCTTTTCAAATTAACTGAATTTCAAATTCTCTGAAAGTGTTCAAGTATGACTCAGCCCTGGTAAAACCTGAAATTTAGTTGAAGTACCTGTCATCTCTCTCCTGCACCCTTTAAACTGGAGCAGGATGGAGTCCCCATAAGTTTTCTGTAAATAAGTAACTACTTAAAGCAGATAGATCTGGTGGCAAGGCAACACTCACTCCTCCAAATGGAATCTCCACAAAGAGATGAGGGACATCTTTGGAAAAATCTCTTTGCCCTTGAAGTAGTAAGCCTCTGATTTTTTAACTGCTCTTTTCACAGGTTTCATCTTTTAATTCACGCTAAGGTTGTGTTTCATTTGAAAACAAAGATCGAGTGTCAGATCAAGTGTAAAACAAAAGGGAAGATCAAGCCTTGTGAGATGTTATTACTGCAAACCCCCCTAATTCACAGCCTAAGCAACTAAGTGCAATGCAGTCCAGCAAGACAGAAGAAAAAGTAGACATACTTTCTGATGGTGCATGTGCTTCCTGAGCAGATTCCTCTGGGCCCTGTACGGAATCATATCCAGATGATGCTGTCTCACTGAGATTATCATCTTCATTAACCATAGTGACAGTGGATAGAGGTCTCTGCCCACTGGATCCTGAGGCTTGCACAGACTCAGACCGTGTTTCTACATCCATCTTTGTGGAAAAAAAAAAAAGAGAAAATGGTTTAAGTTAAAACTTGATAGGATGCTGCATCTTTCCAGGAGACCAATACTTGCAAGGACTGAGTCCAGGGCACTTTTACCCAGAGATAAAAAAAATAAAATGGCATAAAAGTTCTGCTGTTAACCTCCAACATCCCAGGGGAAAACCAGTTATGGTCTAATTGAGTGGGAAGTTCAGACACAGCTTCTGCATTCTTCACTCATTTACTGCCCAGTACCACAAAAAGAGAGTCTTCCTTCCATTCAGTGCAGATATGACTCCCCCAGGCAAATTCTGGCACACATTTTAGCTGGTCCGGGCAGTGTCAGGCATTGGCAAAAGCAGTTTCCCCTGGCACTTGCAGCAATGAGCAATTAAAGAACACAGAACACCTCAGAAATTCCTGATGTATCCTAGGAAATCATGTGGCTCCAGGAATGATGTCCATGCTAACACATTCACTTTTCAAGGACTCTGGGTACTGAGGAACTGAACAGAGGTTTCAGGGACAGTATGAGCTGTTGAAGTCTGCCTGAAGCTTTGATAAACACCCTTAGTTGCAAGCACAAGAGTTAAGAGCGATTCTTCCATGCATGACAGCCAGCTTTGGCTGACATTCTGCCCAAGGCTTTAGGTGATACCAACTCAGACCAGGTCAGCTGCAGGTTTCCCTAAAAGGGACACAGCAGTCCTGTAGCACCTGGCCACTGACATGGCAACACCTGGGCTTACCACCAGTGCTCTAGAGGCAGCAAGAAATAGCTCAGGATGTGGTTACTACATCAGTGTAATGCTGACAATGGCAGCTGCCACTGTGACAGAATGCTGGCTTACCTCAACACCCAAAACTTTGAGGATGTCACATTTGCACAGTGGACACGTCCCATGTTCCAGAAGCCAGGGGTCAATACAGGTCTTGTGGAAGACATGGCTGGTAGAAGAAGGTAGCCAACAGGTTAGGCTTCATACCAGGAAGACTGCTTATATGCCACCCGTGAAGAACTCTTTGGTAACACTGAGAATTTATTCCTTCTAGAGTGGACGACCTTATTTTGCCTCAAGTTCCAGTTGAAAGTTATAGATAGTTGATCTCTCAGCCTGTAGCTGGTTTGTGCTTATTAGTATCTTGATATAACTTGCTAGAATTCAGCATTATCATTTTTGCTACACCAATCTAAAGCTTTTGTTCTTCCAAATCCATTTTCAAATACATTCCCAGCTGATAATTTAACAAAATACGATTACTGACGTCTCAGCCTCAGCTTTAAGGTTAACCTCTGTCTTGCAGATGCAGATGACTAAATAGCACTTATTTCTGTTAGAACTACATAGACAAATCATCTCACAGAGTAATGTCCTCGAGATAAACTGTACTCCCACCCATTTGCTTTGTCTGTGCAATCACTGTGTATTCCAAGTGGATATTTGGCAGGCTGTGCACTCAAGAAAGTAAATATAGTTCAGCCACCACAGATGCAAATGTGTGCTTCTATTAAGACATTCACTTCCACAATGGGTCTAAATTAGGCCACAGATTTAGGAGGATGACTTGAAATCCTGTAATCTGCCTGTTCCCTCAGCCTGAATAGAAACAGCAAGGCAGACAGGCACTGCTCAGTATTAATCAGTTCTATTATGAGACAAGTGCAGAGATCACCACATCCACTGCTCAGTAGCCCATGGCCCAGTAGGATCCAAGGATTCTCCAGTTCAGCCCACATCACCAGTACTTCCTTCTAGCTGCACCAACTTAATGTTCAGAGTACAACCTGAAACTTCCTGGATGCCTGACTATTTTAAGTCCTTGGATTTACCACTGGTTTTGTGTATCTGCAACTATAAATGCCTTCAGTTTGACTCTCTGGACAAGAATGCCCTTGGCAAACACCCACACCCCAGGGACTCAGATACCACCAGTGTGACTCACAGGACCATTTGATTGCTTGCTTCTTTCATAAATACAGTTAAATGCTTTCAACAAGTAAAGTCTAAGTGTTGAGGTCAACCATCAAAATCAAGCGTGTTCTTGCAGTAAATATCAATTTATAACTCATGTGAGAGAGAATTTAATATGGCTGATACTGGCAGAGATCACCACTGGTGAAGATTACTAAGTCCATCCAGTCATCTTAAGCATGTGCCTCTTAGAGCTGCATTTGGGCCCGGGAGGAATGAAACATCACAAATGTATGGAAAGCAATCTTAGAGCAAAGCATAACGCAGCAAAGTTCAGAAGAAGTTACTCCACTCTTACCTCAATAAGTCATGCTTTGTTTTCAAGTTCATATCAAGATTATCAGGGTTTATAGGGAAATAATGAGAAGTCAGGTCTCCTATCAGCCAGAAGTATCTGGAGCTTGTCTGAAAGTTTCTGTACTCATGGCACTTAGTTCATTACTAAGCAAGACTACTCATGAGCATAAACGTGACAAGACAACCGATTAAGCATTCATCCATGCCTGAAAGCTTATTCAGTTTTGGTTTTTTCTAAAGTATTAAGCATGAGATCAAGGAATTTGGTTGATAACATCCTAGCAGCCCAACTTTGTGTTATCAAAACAGCTTAAGAGGTCCTACTGCTTGGGAGCAGAGAAAGCCTTTGCAAAACTGTAACCTGGTGCAAAGGGAACTCCAGCTCAGATCTGACAGCGTTTGACAGACAGCACCGCTCACCACACAACACCAGCTACAGATTTTGCTATTCTACAGAACTTTTTCGTACATCAAAATTTTTCCAAGTGCTTTTTGTAACCCTCCCCAAAGGTTATGAAACCTCTTCCAGTACACAATTTGTGCAATTCACATGACAGCCCTCTGATTTTTAGACGCTTGGCCAGAGCAGTCCCATTCAGCAGGCACAGGGGGAATCCCACAGAACAATTTTCCTTAAGTCCTGAAGGAGCTTAATTCCTCACCTTAGGAGCAACCCCAGCCTTTGTGCTACACTACTGGGCTTCCACAGCAGTAAGATACAACAGGGGAGAATTCTAGAAAAATAAACTGCTATAGTTCTGTTTTGGTCTCTATTTCAGAGGATGCATACAAGAAGAGAAATGCCTTCTTCTAAACTACAAAAGCCAATATGGTTTAACAAGTTTAGCAGAAGCACAACCCCCTTAGTAAGCAGTAACTTAAGGGACAAGAAATGGGCAACATTTTGCCAGTTACCTGCAATTTAGTGGTAACATTCTTATGTATCAGCAAGGGAATGAATCTTTAAAAAGCCCTGGCATGCCCTTGAGGGGCACTGTGGTCTGCCTGTCAGTCCGCTCATGGGGAAGTTATGAACACAGGCCATTGGGGCACACTAAAAGAGCATATTTACACAGTTCCTGTTGTTCAAAACATTGTTTTGACAGAGATTCAAGAATGCTTGCTGTGTAACAACTTGATTAAAGTTTGATGAGCTTTGTTAGCACAGCAGAAGGAACAGCAAGTAACAGCCATGCTTACAGATTTTGGGTAAAGGGGCAGTTTAGAAGACAACTTACTTGCAAGTCAGAACACGCATTACGTCATTTGGCTTGTACTGTTCAAAGCACACAACACAGGAATCCCCATCTGGACCAATCTCCTAAAATAGTGAAATGAATTTATAGCATTAACAGACTTTGAAAGCTTCCTCTGAACTCCAATCAGATTTACTGCAGACAAAGGGGTCTAGCTAAAGTCATCCAAGATGTTCCCACATATAATCTTATATAAACACACTGTGTGGATTACTCACAGTCAAGCTGACACTTCAACAGAAGCATTTAAAGTTTAAACTCATGGTTTAGAATTTCAGCTTGGATTACTGGAGGCAGTACTGTAGAGGTTTAGAACTGCTAGCTCCAGTTTTAGTTACAAAAAGAAAAGCCAGGGAAGCTGATTAGATATACTAGTTTACCTTTAAGCATCCGTGCCAGCAAAATTAGGACCTCTCACCTCAGCAAGACTACAAGCAAGCAGCTAACAAAATAACCCAATTTATAAGAATAGAAGGAAGTCTTGCAGCCTGGAAAAGGACATGGTCTGAAAGAGGAACTGTCTCTGCCACCAACAGTTACGAGCTCAGAGAAACTTCTGCATCCTGCTCCAGTACTATGGACCACTCTCCAGGCTCTGTGCAAAGGCTGTGCCATAACATACATGAGGTCATAGGATCAGTCCTACCTTGTCCCCTTCCTTCAGGGTGCGCAGCTGCATCTCTTCAATGGCCTTCTTAGCCCTGGCCCGTAGTCGTCGCTGTGACAGAAAGCAGTCCTGGTTAATTAAACACGGTCATTTTTCTATTAAGTTACTAATACTTACCCGGGTGCCTACCAGCAAGCAGGCAACAGTTTTAGAACCCAGATGTTATCACAACAAGCCAAGTAAGCATGACCATGCTATTTCAAGAGACCATGAAACAGAGTTTCAGGACATACTGATGTGGTTATTGACTAGATGATTCACCAACAAGGCACTAGCATCTGCTTTGCTTTTACCCAACCTTTTCACGAGCACAGGAATTCCAAGGGTTTCTTCTTGATCAGATTAGACCCAACCAAAACAAACAGAAGCCTTCAAACTGACTTGGTACAGAAGACCGAACACGGAGTCCAACACTCAATAGTTTTACTCACTTTATGGCACCCTCCTGCCACGCACTCACGTCCTGATGAATGGTGAGAGATTCTGCACCGACCAGCCCACTCACCTCCAACGCACCCTCAACTACTCCTCTGTCCCCACCGATTTACAGCTTGCCTGGCAACTGTTGGTGTCCAGCTGTCAATGCAACACTGGAATTAGCCCAGGAGCCAACTCCTCTGCTTAAAGGTCACAGGTTGGGGCTGTTCCACCAACACAAAGAATAGGACTGTCCTCTCCCTCGCCGGTGCACTTACTGCCTCAGGACATAGAGGCGTATCAGGCAGTTCTGGAACTGCTGTCCCAGCACAGCACTTACTTCAGGGACAGACCAGTCTTCAGTTTTGCAGCTAACCAAAAAGCCTCTTTCCAATTCAGCTGCTCTGTGCAGGAGCCCCGCACTGTTAGCTTTCCAGCATTCCATCTCCTTAGGCATTTTAGCCCAGTCACATGAATCCTTTCCAAGTGCAGTGCTGGTGGCACAAGTACAAAAGGACAAGTGGGTGGAAGGCAGCTGCTGACACGTAATAAACTCACAAGGACTGGCTATTCAAGTCTGCACAAGATTCCCTGTGCTGAAGCACTTAATGGCAAACAACTTGATTTATACGGTCACCTGAGAGACTGTCAAGCAGTCTTGGTGCAAAATGAGCTATTTGTGTATCAGTATTATTTTGGTGACCTAAGATAGAGCATCCATGTGCAGGTTTTTGAGAGTTTAATAGCTGATAATTATTAACAACTATCAAGGAAGAGACAGATAGAATCCAAAGGTAGAGGATGCAAACACATTTTCAGGAACAAGAAGTAGATGAGTTTTCTTGGAAGCTTTTGCTGAAGACATGAATGTATGTTTCTGTATGTCACTTATGGTTAACTTTGGAATGATGTTCCCCTTGTCAGTGTTTGAGAGAGCAGCCATGTACTGCTTTTTACTGAGGCCCCTAGAAGTCTGAGCAGCAAATGTGGTAAAAATCAACATGTGGTAACATCAACAGAGGAAGAATGCAGCAATATTAGCACTTCTCATACATAGCCAGAACTGTCACCACTACTTGTTATTAAATGAAAACTGAACTTTCTAGGAATGTACTCCCTCATTTGGTATCTCATCTACACATCTCATGTCAGGCCAAGCATATTAGACAGGACCCAACTGGCTGCATTGTTAATAATTTACCGAAACAATATTTTAAGTTTTGCATAGGCACCAGTTTAATTGCTCTTCATTAAATGCACCAATGGCAAAGTCACCTTTAACATTGATTTTGGCAAGTACAGCAGAACACCCCTCCAGGGGATGGAGAAAAGAAGCAAGAGGAAGATTTTTATTGAATAGTCTACCAGGATACTTGAGCCTGGAATGTCAAAGCATTTTGCAAAGTCAAGTTTTTCAAGCAAATGTTAAATGTTAATTATGTTAGAAGTCTGAAAGTCCCAACCCAGCAACTCTAGAAAAAAATAGCTAAGTTGAGGAAAAAGAATCAAGATATTACAAAACAGGTCAGGTCCCAGCTCCTATCCAGGCTCTGGTATGTTGAAATAGTGAGGTACCTAATTGGGAAAAATAGGTTTGCAGTCGCTTAGTCCTCAGCCTTCCCCAGTCCAACACTGCTGATTTTACCTCCAGCCCTTTCTGCATAAGGGGGGCAGAGTGCCTTCCTGGCACCCTGTGAGCATGGTCATGGCAATGCAGACAAGAAAGCTCTAAGGAGGTCAGGAACTCCTGCTTTTCTCCTGTAAGCTAAGGAAGTTCTTCCCCACAGGTAGCTACTGCCATGTACACAGTTTTGAATTGTGGAAAGTTGAGCAACTCACCTCCTCCAAAGCCATTAGTTAGGTAATTTCTCAGCTGCAACATCTAATCTTTATGAAATCAATGGAAGCAAAGATTTGAGCTGAAATTAGAAACCAGGTCACTGATAATATCATGGGCCATTTTGCATTATTAAGAAAGGTTACTATATTGAGGAACTGAATTTGTCAGTGCTCTGCTGACTAAAAAGGTAGCAAGCCATCCTACCACACTTGTCTTTGCTCACTAACCACATGATGCAGCAAGAGACTGCAGAGGTGGGGACTTAAATTTCAAGCCCAGAAGAAAAGATGCATTCAAGAAGGAACTAGCAGGTTGCAAACAGATAGCTCATGAGGAAAGAGCCACTCTGTTTTAACTAACTGTGGTAGGGACATACGTGCTACTAAACTTCTCTTCTCGCTTGGACCAGAAGACAATGTGACTGGCTCTTCTCAATAGTCACTCAATTTTTAAAGAAACCCTTCACAAGCTGCAGCACATCATTATCACATATCACTATTAGCTCATTGTACCACTCCAGAGAGTCATTCAAAAGTGTTTCTTTGGTTCCAGTGGCTGACTGACCCCTTAAAAGACTCCTCACACAACAGCAAGATAATCCCACAGGGAAGGTCAAAAAAGCAGAGACTTTGAAGAGCAGTAAAGGGATGCATTCAGAGCAACACTGAAGTGCTGAAACAACATGATTTTCAGTGCACTTCGAAAAGAGGGAGAATCTGTAACACTTCATTATCAATACACTTGACTGTTCCCTAAAGACTCTTCCCAAAAGAACATGTAACCCTTCCACACCTGTGCAAGAAAGGAGACAAAACACACTCTTTTACTCCACCAACTAACACAGTCAACTGTTTTCTCCAGACAGTTTACTTTTTGCTGTTCTTAAGGAAAGTTTTAAGTTGCTCAAAGGTGTATCTCTTAGTGCTTTAAAGATCACATGCCTTCCTGTGGAACAAACAAATTCAGTCATTTTGGAGCTTAACCAGCATTTTGCCCTTCAGATCCACACCACGGAGGCCTGGGGATATAAAAAAATCAATGGCACTGACTCACCTGCTCCCTGGACTGGGCCCTTGCAACAATGAGTCTCCGAGCAGAGTAAGAGACATAGCAGCCCAAGGTTGCTGCTGCAACAACGAAAAACGACACGGAGATGAAGAGGATGGTGAAGATATTCATGGAGAGGCTGCGCTTCTTCCCCACTTCGATGACCATTGTCACTCTCATGCCGCTCTGAATCCGCCGCAGGATCTCCATGCCTTTCAGGTTGCCAATCATAATTGCAACAATCTTTTCAGCACCTGCAAAGGAGAAGGGGAATCCACGTACAGTTACCAGGTGTTGTACCAGTGTCTTAGATGTTCAAGTGCTACAGTAAAGACCGTGGGAAGTTTCTAACTGGTATTTGTAGATTCACCATGAGCTGACTGAGCAAGAGTCATCACCATATGCTTGTCCAGTTGAAAGGTACATTCAATTACCTGTGAGCTGCATATTTAGAGCATGTTTAGAGTATGTTTAGAATTCACTCATCTCCATAGCACTCCTCACTCATATATAGGACACTCACTGTCCTATTTAGACACAACACTTTGGTGATTTACATTTTAATATGCCTTTGAACTACACAAAGTTAAAAATAAATCCTCTACAGAGTGAGGTCACGGAGGATTGCAGTATCTGTGTGGGAATTGCTTCCTGTAATGGATCCGACTTCTTTCCTGTTCCGCTGCCACTTCTTAACACCTCTTTTCTAAATTTGACAGTACTGTTGAGTACTTCCCCAGACACTGAGCAGTCAAAGCCATAGATCAGCCTTTGCTTCTGTATTCTCAGCAGCAATTGAGAAATGATTTGAGTGAAATTTGGTTGTGAACTATAAATGTTTTTGTGAGTTTCTAATGCAAATTCAGAGGGAAGCAAATATGGAGGGAGGTGTGCTCAGCTTTTAAACAGTTGGTGGCAAGATGGCAAACACCATCTTGATTTTAACAACAGGTTTTATTCACTCAGTTGAACACCATGACAAGTCAAAGGAACAAAAAGTTTTATGGTAGGAAGAAATTTCAACCAACTCCAGTCCCCAAGTACAGACCAGAAGAAACTGCTTTCCTTTTAGTGACATGCAAGGGCTTGAGGACATTTGATACCATTTGCAGGAACTTCAGACAGTCCCAATATAACAGAGAAGCTCTTAAGAGGTAAAGATAAAAAACAAACAAACAAACAAACAAACAAACAAAAACGGGGAGAAAGGGAGATGAGTAAATTATCACTGGTATCTCTCTAAACTAAATACAAGAAAAATAGATTTGAAAACCAGCTGATCAGGAGTTCTGCTGCATTAAACCATCACCTGCACAACATTCATAATAGACATTGCATGGTGGAGGAACAAAAGACTGTTACAGAAGTGCTATTTTTAGCTAACCTCCCAGCCAAACACTTTTATGGGGAGACAAATTGTTTGTCCCTCTGCTAAGAGAAACCTTACCCAACTTTCAGATACCAAAAAACTAGAATTGGTGCTAAATCACAAAGGTTGTCATTGGAGAAACTGCTCATTAGTTTGCCAGCTTGTTCACATAATGTCTGTGACCCAGCATGGTAAGCAACCCTCCTTAGTGGGACTAAACTTTAATGAGGACATCACACAGAAAAGAGGAAAAAGTAATTTAAAAAATAAAAACCAGTCAACCTGCAACTACTGTCCTTTAGAATGAACTAGGGGTTATACATCAGTTAGAAAATGAGTCGGAGTCAGGTGTCAGGAGCAAGCAAAGAATTAAGCATGGGTCAAGTCAGATGCTGAGACATGCTTTCATAAGCATGGAAGAAAGTGTGAAAGATCAGGCTACAACAACGAGAAAATAAAAAGCCTACCAAAAAAAGCAAAAAAGGCTTGTTCTGCCTTATGTCCCTTCGCTTCTGCACGTCTCACAGCAAATATAGCTTGTGGTTATGCACAACACAAGACGCAGCGTGGGGACTCCTGTTAATGAAACATCGCCATCAGCCTGCAAAACCACTCCAGCTACTAAGCCATCTGCTGTGGATGAGTTTTACCCTTAAAGAAAAAAACATCTTCCATTTAAGTCTCAAGTTGATCAGTTCACAAAGATGTCTTCAGATGACAGCTTTAATTCCTTCTCATTCTTTTCACCCCCAGAGATTTCTCTTGCAATTTCAGCTCTGCTTTAGACAAGCACATGCAAGCACCAGCTGCTGGCTTTGACACTGGCTCAACAAGGGCAGAAGAGTGGCCATTTCCATCAGCACCACGTTTAGGACAACTGCTGTGCTTCTAGAATAAAAGCATTAGGATCACTCCCACCCAACACTCCCTGAGCTGCTGGATGGGTCCCACCTTGACAGGTACTGAAACGTGTTACGGTGGCCTTGAAACAATGACCTGGACAGAGACTCGAGCATCACACTGGAAACAAGGTATTTGAGGGGACATCTGCAGAGGTGTCCCAAGCACAGTAGCTGCCCTCAACTGTCAGCTTTCTAACCCCCCAGACTGCAGCAAAGCAGAAGAAAAGTCAGTTGTGCATGGCAAAAACCTCACAGAAACCCAAGCTCATCATCCAGGTGCTGTCAGCTTTTGTGGTTCAGGTAAAGCTTCTCTAACAGTTTTTAAAGGACACTAGAAGGTGAAATTAAGCTGCTGCCTGTTTGGCTAATAATGGGCTCACTGCTAAACAGAAGCAAGACCTGTTTAGTTAAACATTTCCCAGCCTCTTTCCTTTCTCATTCCCTGTGAAACTGGAGAGGGTAAGTTATTCAAGTCTTTAGAGAAACACAGCCTGCCTCTGTAGATTTGGAGTTTTGCAGGAGGTACCTGCTGGTCAAAATCTGGAGGAAATGGGTTAGCACAGATAAAGCACAAGAACCTCAATGGTGTGTTGTGGCAGGGAAGAGCTGGGGCACAAGCAGATTGGGCACACAAGGACAGTGCATGACTGGGATCAAAGTTTTACCTTCCTGTATCAGGTTGACTTAAATGCAAAGTAGAGCTTGCATCTATTTATACCAATATCAATACCTATATTAAACACTGCCCTGCAAAGACTTCACTTGTTCTGCCATTGCACTTCTGCTCCCTGTAAACATGAAGTTGAGGGTTTGGTAATTCAGGAGAGAAATGCAATGTGTAAGGGCAGCATAGAGCTGGGAGCATTAACTTTTGCATAGTAAACACCTGTCTTTTCATATTTATTTAGGGAGATTATTATAATCCAGTACTAATCTTGTGTGTGCTACAGATAAATCTATCGTGAACCAAGAAAATTCTAAGTCCTGGAGAACATTCACCCCACAATATTCAGCAGACTGCAATGGAACCTAATCCATGCTTAACAGCAGTCACTTCTAGCAATAAAATCACAATCTGCTCATGCATTAAAGCACATCAAGGCAAGGTTCAGATCTCAGGGCCAAACAATCCCCTGACCAAAGACAACTCAAGGACTCCAGCCCTAAGTCAGCTCCTCTACCCCCACTCAAAAGTAGTTTCTCAGCTTGTTCAGGCATTGGAACCATTTTGCAGTGTTTAAACCAAGCAAATTCCACTTCAATTAAGACATGAAAGACCCCTTCATTTTGGTTTAAAGGTCTCAGTGTAGCTTTGGGCAAATTCCATAGACTGTTCTTTTCTTGGATAGCAAAAGCCAAACCCCTATAATGTCTCTATCACCATTTACCATGAACAGGATGTAATATTGTTAGGGGACCTTTTCCTCTTTGGGAGCAGACCAAGCTGCAACACCGTTTGGTGAAAACATGTGAGGAAGGCAACAATTCTGAGGGCATTTTTAAGAAAGAAGGCATAAAAGATGACAAGTAGCAAGTTATTTCAGAACAAGGAAAAGCTAGCATGCCATACACAAACTCCAACATTTTTGCTTCTGTAATTTCCCCCCCCTTTCTGAAATTCCAAAGTTTTGTATCATCTTTAAGTGGAGTGAAATTAAGTTTCTTTCACTTTGTCCAGAGAGTGCCTGTGCAACCTGCGCCTCTGCCGTGGTACAACTGTGTTGTTTCTCCCCAGAACCAAAGCAGCTCACACTTCACTCAGGAATACCCCCACACAGCCCTTGGTCCTGTGGAACCTGCAATCCATTTCAACAGCCCCAGCTGACCACCATGTGAGCCACTCACTCAGAAAGTGCAGAATGGAAGAAATTACTTCTGATTTTGAATGTTCACATACAAAAAAAAAAAAAGGCAAAATAAAAAAAAAAAAAACAAAAAGCAGACTTTGGAGTTTGAATTCTCAAAGAAAGGTCAGGCTCTCCTTAACCAGAGCAGAATCAATATCTGAAGGCTCTTTCAAGAGATTAAATACAAACTCTGAACTTGATGGCTGTATCTTTGCTTTTATCTACATGATATGGTACTTTCAGCACACAAAATCAGCACTAGCTGTGTCTTCAGCCTTAGTCAAAGAGGTAGAGGTATTCCCCTGGTACCCCTCCAACTCCAGCATCAGCAGAAAGGCATTAGGAGATCAAGCCATCTCCTGTACTTTAACATGAAAGACACTGTCAGTTGACACTCCAAGCATTTCCCACCAGATCAGCACACCTGACTCCTCAGGCATGTAAGAGGAGTATCTGATATACCAGCTTCAGGTTTAAAAAAAAAAAAAAAAAAAAAAAAAAAAAAAAAAAAAAGAAAAAGACATCTTGAATATTGCTTATCTCACTGTACTGGGATTTCTGGTGGTTATCAAACAGGCCTGTACAAGCTTAATGTTATCTGTTACAGTAGGAAGGAAAATAAACTACCATTGTACACAGACTGATCTGGTATTACTGACGTGACGTAATTCACCTCAGGTGGCAGGCGAGCACTGCACACAGAAGCCATCATGTCTCAGCACTACACCACTCCAGGGACACAAGGGCTCTCCCTGGCCTCAGACACCAGGAAACCAGAGCCTGCAGGCCAGCTCTGCTCTCATCCATGGTACACTGTGGACAAAAAAGGGTGCTGACTGCTCTCGTCCAGATGCATAAGGCAAAATCTGATCAGGAATGTGCCCATCCCCACAATCATCCTCCATCGCAGACACTGTCAGAGGAAACGCCTTTATTGCCCTGCAATAAGCTCTCCCCTTTGCAAGAGGGGAGGGTGACTGAACTCATAGTTCAGGAACAACTTAAGCCTGGATAAGCTGACATGTTCACAGGCTTGTCCCTTCTCCTTCCCCTGCTCTGCCTGTTCTCCACTCCAAACATTACCTGGCACCAAGATAAAAGAATTGCTCACTTCCACGCTATTTTGCAGTTATTTA